TTCTCTTAAGTACAGTACACAGATACACAGAAGGGCATTCCATAAGTATACAGTGCATCTCAAAACAAAGTACTTCTCAGTCTTTCCAGAACTGGCACCCAATAAGAGATTAACACATAGCAGCCAATTAGCCTTTCCTTACACTTCAGTTGTTTTTTCAAAGAAGGTTATTGTTCTAAGCCAACAAACAAAAGCATACCTGTGTAACCCATCTGCCAGAGGACGTCTGCCTGCAAGGTCTGAGCAACTTGGCGTGGGATAGCTCTCAGCAAACGTCTGCTTGAGTGTCGACCTGTTGCATGCCAGAAACCAGAACCTAAAGAAAGACTTGCTCTTCTCAAGGGACGAGATGACTGCCATTTTTGAGTCCATCTGGTTTCATTGCAGTGCAACATTGGATCAGCTACACAGAATGAGGATGAAGAATAGAAAATACACTATGAGGAAAACCTCAAAAGATTAGCTTCTAATGCAAATATACACATCATACTGTTACAACAAAAATTTTAGGCGAGCAAGTATCCATTTTATCTGACCAAAAATCAGTAAAAGGGTCTGTTTTATTTACTAGGGATACAGTGGTCCAGAGTCTCTGGTAACTGACTGCTGCAAAAGAAGTGTTTCTGCATTGTACTTGGAATCATTGCCACACTTTAGCAAAGGTATGACAAGCCCCTGATAATCGTATAGGCAAAAGAACAGATTTCTGCAAAGTAAATAAGAACTGTAGGGCACTTCTCATTTGTGCAGTGCTAAGCTGATGGTTTGAAACAAGGCTGAGAAGACTTTTCTAAAGCAGATCTCATGCAACCACACAAAAATTACTTACACTCAGAATATTTGAGCGATCGGAAGACCTTCCGCTGAGGTGTTACACGCTTGATGTTTGGATGATCTTCCAGTGTCAATACTCCATCTTTCTGTTTCTCATTGATCTGAATAACTTCAAAATCACTAGGATAGTCACTGGCCGGGTTGTTGCGAGGTACAATCCTCCAGTTCACAATATCACTACTTTTTAGTGCACTTGAAATAAATTTACTTCTAGCTTTTGCTGTGAAGTATCCATTAAAAGCCACAATATACTCTGGAACAAGAGCACAACTTATCAGAACTGATGTTTAAGCAGCATATTCATACATTCACATCACAAAGGTCCAAATATCTATTTTTTATTTTATTCAAAAAGTAATCACAATTTGAGGCACTATTTCGTTGCTTTTAGAAATCTGCAATTTATTTCTGCACTACATCGTAATGCCTTTTTTTTTTTTTTTTGAATCAGGAAACCTGCAAAACACAACAAAATCCTTTGAAAGGAAGGTAAAATTGTAAATATCATGGGAAGCTGAAATGAAGGGGGTGAGCTGGGGAGACATAACAGACTTACTGTTACATCCAGCAGTACAAACAAGTGCTTGATATACCAATTCAATATGCTTCTTGACATGTATGATTTAAAGACATCTAGCCTCTATATCGTATTCAGTTTTAGTGAAAATTACTGACACAAAGTACGACATGCACAGAGAATGAAGCTGGTCCCAACAGTCCAGTCCTTGATCAGGATTAGTGATCTGTGAACGGAGCTCAGCCCCAGCACACACACAACCATGTTCACCACAGGAAGTCTATGGCTAACTACACACAGAAATGTCACTGTGAACATCCTGCCTGTAAGCTCCCTGGCACACACACAGCTTCACTGCAGAAACATTGCAGGTACCTGAGGCAGTAAGTGGATGCAGGGTCAAGGCATCCTACTGCTATCCTTTGTCATCTCAGCAAGGGTATCTGCCTCACTTTGCCTTTCTATCTGTTCTCCTCACAGTTATCTGTGCAATTTTTCCACACATGTATTATCACTTCCAAACTTTTTCTTGAACAAACCCAGAGAAATTTCTTCCCTTTCTCACCCCCGCAAGGCCTACTTGTGGTTACATTTCATAAATGAGCCTCAACCATTCCACCCGCCAGGTCAAAACACAACAGCTACTAAACACACCAAAGTGACCAGACATGCCCACCTGAGCCTTCACACTCCATTTTCACTTTGAACATTCTCTTTATTTCCCCCCTCTCTTCTCCTGTTCTTTGAATCCTGCCTCCAGTTAAACCAAGAACTTTTGAAAAAATCTGTCTCTCGAATATAGAGAATTTAGTAGACAATATGCTTCTACAGAAACTCTCTGAATGTTACAATCGCACAAACACCACAAATCAGTAACACACACTTGAACTTCACAGGGGTAATTTTTTTTTTCTGCTTAACCCTTTATTACCATGCTCCACGACTGTCGAAGTGAATTCCACTTTCAAAGTAAGGTGGGAACATCCAGGACATATGGGAGCCTCATGAGAGGAATTCCCAAGTCTGGTACCGAAGTGTTTTTTGCCACAGAGTAAAATAACAACCAGAACAAACCAGATGTTTGCAAACTTCATGGTCATAGAAGAAAATGGTTTCATTCCAAAAATTCCATATATTCAAATCACAATTTTCTTCTTTATAAACTAGTTCATTTTTGTTTCAGTAAATGTTGCTTTCACTGTGCTGATCAACTGGATATTCTTAAAGCTGTGTCCAAAATAAGTAGAGATTTCATGGTCTTTTGAGGCAAAGCCTTATAAACAGGCTCATTTCTTTCTACGCTTCTTCTCCATTTTGTATTAAAGGATTCGGTCACTCGGGATCTGGTAGCTGAGTCCTGTACTCCATTTCTGATGGCAAAGTTAACTCCCTAGAAGAATTAGCAAAGCTGACTGCAAGCCAACCTGTAAGGCAGAGCAATATAGAAAATAATTAGATTCACATTTGCCCAAATGTATAGCCTGAAAATCACAAAAGATAGACACTCTGACAGTATTAGATAGTATTTCTGTATTAGAAATAATACAGAAAAAGTTGTTCAGGTGTTTCATTTAGCAATTTTTCATGAATGCTTAAGTCTCTTCTTTGCTCACCCAGCGCACATGTGGAACACTGGGGCATTAACCTGACAACAGAACAGGCAACAGCGACAAACAAACTCTACCACCCTTTGCATAAGGGGTGTGAAAAGAACAAAATAACATGCCAGGCCCATGGCAAGCAAAAAGTAAAGTGCGAAATAAAATATTAACATGATAAAAAGCGTCCACTTTAACTTAAAAAAGCGTGGTGCCTTTTTTCCAGTTAGAAATGTGGCAAATAGAAATTTTGCTAAGGTATATAATTTTACACAAGGAGAAGCCAATTCAAACTCTATACCAAGGGCTGGTAAGGACAAGAGATACCACGGGAAGCAAGCTTTCAGTCCCTGTGCTTGTAAGAGAATATCAGCATGAAAAAAGTCTTACAAATTCTCCTGAGGTGGAACATGAATTACTACAATGTCAGCACCTGAGAAAATAAGGGTTGGGATTACAGATGTAATAACGTGAAGTTGAAGGGAAGTGCTGAAAGTGTTTTTCATGTGGGAGAGAAGCTTCTTCCCTTTGCATTCCACGGGGCAGTAAGCATTTGAGAAAACTTGCAATGATAGTATTTTTTAAAATTCCAAACATTTAACTAGCTACTGGTCAATAAAAAGCCATTAAGAGATGAGTGAAGAGAAACATTTTCATCTGGTCTGTCACACCGCATGGAAAAGCGGAGCATAACTATACATTGCTTTAGTGACTAGGATTGAAAAGTAGAGGCTTCATTAGCAGATTCACACTATTTAGGAGAATGATAGTCTGACCTCACAGCACAACAGAATGAATCAAGTCTGCAAGTGACAGCTGTTACTTCATTTTTATTTAACTTTATTTAGCATTTCCAAGCATTTCCTTGTAACAGGGATAGAATTCCCCTCTCTTTCTAGCTGGCTGCCGACACCTTGACAGACTGTGAACTGCTTGGGATTACAGTTTCCTCTTTACCCCTGAACTAGGCACAGTTACAGTACACTGATTGCTGATCTTGGCTCAGCTCTGCCTAACCTTATCACTTTGTTGGCTTATAACCCCTATAGTAATAAAATACAAAATCAACTACACAAATAAGCAAAACAAACATTCTTAAAGCTGATAACAGATTGTATGTAAGCACGATGCTGAAATATGATGGAAGCTAAGAGCAAAGGAACAGCACGCTCACACCTTTATTCTGTTTAACACCCTTACCATGCGGAACTGGATAGGAACCCAAACTTGCCAACCTGTCCTTCCCCTAGAACAGCTACGCCTGGAGTTACTCCGTTTTTTGGGAAGCGAGGGTACCCCAGCCCCAGCGATAGGAACTCCGCAGAGATCGGCGGCCGAGAGAGGCTCAGAGCGCCGCGGGCAGCGGAGGAGCCACCCCCCTGAGGGAGCTCTGCCTGGGCCAGGGGCCGCCGCTCCCGCCCTGCCCTCCGCAGCCACCGACCGACGGGAACTCAGCTGTTCCGTGCCCGTTACCGCGGGCCGTTAGCGCCGCCGCCTCCCAGCAGGGGAAGCCCGAGGGGAGCGGGGAGAGGCCGGCGCAGCAGCCGCCCGCGGCACGGCAGCCCCGCGCCCAGAGGCAGCCCCAGAGACGAGGCGGAGCGGCTACCGCCCGCCCCAAGCCAGACAGCACAGCGCTCCCCTCCGCCAGTGCGCAGAGGCAGCAGCGGCGGCAGCCGCCACAGCAGCAGCAGCCCCACCACCCCGCTTCTCCCACCCGCCGTGCTCACCGTGCCGCCGCCGCCGCGCCTGCCGCCGCCATTTTGTGCACTGTTTACCACCGCGCTCTCGCGAGAGCCCCATAGCGGCCGCGGCGGGGGGCGGCGCGCGCAGGCGCGGAGGGTCTGGGCGGCAGCGCGCATGGGCCGAGCGCGGGTAACGGGGGTGAGGCGGCGCTGCGGCCGCCTGCCGAAGAAAGTTGTTTGAGAAAGTGATTATTTAAATGTGGCTGAGCGGGGTCCAACTCCTGCGAGGAGAACAGGAGGTGTAGATGGTACCGGCAGGCAGCGACTGACGGGCGTGAGGGAGAGAGGGGAGTTGAAAGGCTCCGCCGCTTCACATTCTCAAGCTTTATTTAAGTCCTTAGTACAAATAAGTGTATTTGTTTATATCCCATTCGCAAACAAGCATAAATCAAAATCAGACTTTTATACTGCACAATTGAAGCAACCAGCTGAGGTTGGAGTTTGCAGCAGACAAAACCACTCCCAAAAAACCTGCAAACAGTGGGCTGCAGCAACAGAACAGTAACAAAGCGTCAAAGAAGGGGGCTCCTTTGTTATAGAGATCACAGCCCCAATCTCCCTTTGGACGATAAATTCAAGCAACAGTATCTTGCTACATGGCCCAACAACTACTGGGTACCTCAACAGAGCAGCTGGAATTGTGGGTGGTTTTTTGTTTGTTTAAGAGCTCTAATCAGTATTTCACATGATGGAACTTAAGTGTAAGTTATTTATAAACAGATTTGTACCCAGTCTCTTACTGGATGGGGATGAGTACTAAATTATTTTCTACAAAACCTACTCAGAAGAGCTTCGTGGGGGAGGTCACTGTTTGAACTCCACATTCAAGTGACACCAGTCCAGAGCTACAGGGGAGGAGCAATAGGTACCGGCTTTGTAATCACCACTGCATTATTCAGCAACACAATGCAACTGTTGCATGTTCTCCAGTAGAGATTTCGGGGATCAAGCTAGTGTAGTATAATGACCTCTCATTCTCACCCTCAGGAAATACAGCACCATAACATTCAAGCAATAAATACTAGCACAAATGTGGAGAGGGTGCTCCTTGAGTCATGCTGCTGTGTATAAGATATTGCATAGGTACTTCGTGGGCTTGATATTTCAGTGTGACGTTACAGAAGCAGTACTAACAAGCCTCTGATAATACAAAATACGAAAAGATTGAGAACATTCTTCCCAAGTCACATCCCCCCTTCAGGTAGCAATTATGCATACACAGAAAGGCCAGCTTTCCTGACTCTGAGATGTAGACCCTGAAACACATATAAGCAGTGTATGATACCAGATGACTCTTAGTCAGAACATATGCATAAACATTTATATAAACAAAAGCATCAAAATCATACAGCATCAAAACTTCAGTAATTTTTATCTTAGGAAACCAATCAATATTTCAAAACTAAAATATTATATCTTCATTATTTTTCTGTAACTAATGTGTTTTTACATTATTTATTCAATTCTCCAGCCATATTTCAGATTGCTGAAGCAACAGTTAAAGTATTATCAAGATCATTCACACTTGAAATAAGAAAGCATACAAGCTTATCTCCAAATTCCTTTACAGCTCTGTAAGACCTTTTCAGTCATTTAAACCACCTCCAAGTTAATATTATTTTGCCATACACCTTCATTTTGAAAAATTCCTTAAATAACATCATTCAAAAGTAACACTTGCATTTAAAACAAACAAACATACATACATCTGCCCTTAGAAGACAGAAAAGTTACACAAAACTACATATTAAAGAAACTTAATACAGTTGACTGGGATTGTCTTTTTGAACAGCATGATTTTTTGGGGTCTCATTTCTGACAGATTTGGAGAATTCTCAAATTCAACTTTGCAAGTTGACATCATGTAGCACTATGCAGGAGACAATCACTTACTGTCAGAAATAAAACTATACCTGCTCCTAACCAATTACCTTGAAGAGAAAATAAACAGAGATTAATCTCAACAAGATCAGCTCTGTCATGGAGGAAAGCAGAGGAGGAGCTATTTAATACAAGGATACGGAGAGTATCCAGACTTCTGATGTCTAGGTTACACATAGCTGGTTTAACGAGGTATGGACAAGTTACAGGAAGTCCATGACAGTTCACTAAACGTTTCTGCAGCACTGTGATCAGAATATAGTGCTCGTTATACAGGACATCTAGATACTTCTATTTCACTTTGCATGTTAAAGCTTCCTTGCGTATAATTCTGAAAAAATACATTGCAAACCATGCCCAGATCCATTCAGGTATGCGCTCACCCAACGTGAACTGTGAAGAGGCACAGGGAGACAAAAAACGAGAAAGGAAGGGATAGATTAAGATATATTCCATTAAAGTAAACAAACAGTTTCTCAAATTACCACTAAAGCAAGGCAAAACCTGCTTGAACATCAGCAACTAAGACTTAAATTCAACCACCTGGAAGTAAATATATTTAGCCATTTTGGAAGTAGTGCCCACAGCTCAACAGTTAGGTTCTGCAAATAAATACCGAAGTGGTTTGTTCAAGTTCACAACAGCAATACTGTCCACTTCCTTTAAATGTCACATCTTACCAGAATCCTTCCCATCTCTTTTATTCCTTTTGGACTAATCCCCACGTCTTCGATATCTTCTATGTGACCTAATGCTATAGAAAACCATTAGGTAGGACGTGAGATGTGACCAATGTTCATAAAATTACTTTGGAGCCCACAGTCTGGCCCCAAAACCAAAAACCTAACATACAGAGGACCTGCTTCCAAGTAGCATAGGATAAAAATGTGGGCTTTTTTTTTTCTGCTATTATTCCATCCTCCCTGGCCACTCTTCCCTTAAGCTGAAATATGCTCAGTAAATTAAGAGTGAAAAAAGCTCCTTCTGTTCATAGAAGACAGTTAAATGCTTGCCCAGTTAGTCAGCAACACCCCAAGTGAAGTGAGATACTGTGCTTTTGAATAAAAAGTTATCTTTTTCCCATTTTTGCTGTGCATGTCAAGTGGGCATTGGATTCATGCCTGAGCATAATTTTCTAAAGCAGGATTAGTATGAAAATGTGGCACAATGCCTTTAAGTCCTACAATATATATTGCACCTTTTCAGCATATGAGCATAGTTTTCATTCAGGCTCCTAAGAAAGTCAACAGCTTATTTACTTCTATTGACAAACATGAAATAGTTTAATGAATTGTATTACCTTTATTGCATGCTTCCAGTAACCAGTAGTCCTTGTGGATAACCCAAGAGTAGAAATAGCATGACTTGCATATTCTTCAGCAGAAGGAAAAAAGAAAGATCTCTTTGATGCAACGCTGCTGCATGCTACCATTTTTGTAGCAATTATGAATGGCGTTAAACTCTGAACAAAAATTCCTTTTGAGGCATACTCATAATGTAGTGCTCTACTGAAATAGTCCAAGTAGGTCTAGAAAGACAAAAGCAGAAAGACATCTTTTTCCTTGATTTATTTTTTTTAAAAAAACAATCAAGTGTTAGGGCAAAGTTTCATTAAAATTATAGAAAAGTTGTAGAATACTTTATATAGCAGCTAAAAAAAAAACCAACCTTGAATAAACAGCATAAAAATACAGATTTCTAAAGAATTACCAACATTTCTATTTGTTGTTATTTGTTTGCTAAAAACCTGCAACAATACAGTAACTTGCAGGACAAAGTGACTGCTTAAGTCTCTGATGTAAATTTAACAAACAATCTGACAATTTCTGCTTAAAAACAATACAGAAACATTTATTTCATCTAAAACAAACATCATCTTTAGTTTGGGGGCATTGTAGGGGACACTCCAAAGCTAACTATATGTACTACTGTCAGAAGGACAAAATGAAGTCCCAATTTTTAACACATTTACAGGTGAATTTCATACTCAACTGATCTTCCCCAGAAGCCAGGTTACTTCCTGCAACTCCCTTGTGCAAAATTAATGAAGTATTTGTTTATGTGTATCTCTTATCTCCTTTAGTTCATTTTACTTTTACAGCATACCATAAAAAACCACAAGCCTGGAAACTGGGATTGCTGGAATCAAACAGATGGGAAAATAAGCATGGCTCAGTCTTACCAAGGCAGCAACACTGATGCCATGCTAAAGCTGCTGCTGTGCTGCACAGCTAGTTACCCAACAGAAAGAGCATTTTAGACTCAGTTTATGAGTGAACACATTGCTACTCCCAAATGGCCTCACAAAAGCTTCATTCCCAGCAAACTGCTGGGAGAGCATCTTTTACAAATGCTCTTACACCTGCTGTAGGAAAACAAACAAAACAAACCAATCACTTCAAACACCATATGCTGTTAATGCACAAAGAGGCTTACGATGCTAGAGCAGATTCTTCCCACTTCTGTGCCAATATAACTGTACAGAGGCCATGCTTTAAACTGGATTGCTGATCTAGGATTTGGATTAATGATGGCAGCTAAAGGAAGAAACTTTGGTACACTTGGTTTTGTTCTTTTTTGTTCAAGCTTTTTAATTGTTTTAGTTCAGAGTGCAGTTCAGGAGTTTTATACCTTAAAGTAGTAAGAGCTGGTTTTGCTCCAGGCAACAGGAAGTACTTTCAAGAGCTGAGGAGCAAGGCTGCACAGGTGTTAGGCTACAGCAGAGGGCAGCCACCAACAGCTGGGAGCAATAACTACTTGTGCTTAGACACCAGATCTAAGCAAGATCCTTCTACAATCTCAGTTGCTTTTGTGGATTCAGTGTTTCAGTGTAAATCTGCATCCCCACATCCATTCATGCTTCCAGCATCACACAACTGCTCCGTCCTATTCGTTATTGACTAGATCTCATCAGGAAGAATAATTATAGGGGGAATGTTCTTTTCACTTCTCCCCAGATATGGTACAGACAATGGTGTAGGAAGCCTTCTGCCCCTTGGTGTTAGGTGAAGCAGTGTCTTGATTTAGCCACAGCCCTTGTCACAGTAGCAGCTTGAGCATGAGTAGAGCTCCTCTTGCTACCAAATACTAGTGTGCAAGTAGCTTGAGGTTTGTCTGCACAGTTCAGCTGAAGAAGAGAGATGAAATTCTTGAACCTTTCAGTGGGTCATAGAAATGCCACATTGCTTTGCACATCATTCCTCTGAGGAAGGTAACATTTTTCCTATGACTACTGTTATGCCACAGTTCACACATAATCCAAATAGGACTGACTTTGGTTCAAAGCCCAGTATTAGTGAGGATAAAGAGTTGACTGCACATTACATGTAACATTCACCTCTGATATTTGAACAAATCCCTAGAAAACTTTCAAGTATATTTTGATATCTTTGCTGAAGGTGTTTACAACCAACCAACCTATAACGCATCTACTTTTTATCGTGTACCATTAAACATTACACCCCAACTTACTTTAGAGGCTCCATAGATTGTCAACATTGGTGTCGGCTGACAACAGGATGCAGAAGAAACATTCACAATTGCCCCTTTCTTCTTCTCTACCATGCCTGGCAGCACTATATGAGTCATCATGTTAGCAGAAGTGATATTTGTGTTGATCATGTCCCACAGCACATCCTCAGACACGTTGGTAAAATAGTCTGGGTAAGGATAAAACATTCCTACATTATTCACCAAAATGCCAATTTCTCTGTCTTTCAGAGCCTTCTTAATGTGTGGGTAAGGCTCATGCCCCTTGCTGAAGTCAGCTACTATGAAATCTGTTTCCACTTTATAGGTTTCAGATATGCTTCTAGACACAGCCTCCAGCTTCTCTTTGTTTCGGCTGATTAAGATGATGTTGACACCACGCTTTGCCAGTTCTTCAGCATACGCCTTCCCAATACCATCTGTGCTACCTGTAATAGAAAATGAAAAAAAACAAGGTGAAAATCAGAGCAGCTCTAGCCTTCTCTTTTGCCAGTTATTTCAATTATAGCTTCATTATCTTCTCTGACGTTCACATGGTACTAAATGTGGTGATCTCAAAACCACAACAATAAGGACAACATTATCATAGAATCATAGGATTGTTTAGGTTGGAAAAGACCTTTAAATCATCAAGTCCAACTGTTAACCCAGCACTGCCAAGTCCAACACTAAAAGATGTCCCTAAGTGTCACATCTACATGTCTTTTAAATACCTCCAGGGTTGGTGACTCCACAGCCTCCCTGGGCAGCCTGTTCCAACACTTGACAACCCTTTTGGTGAAGAAATTTTTCCTAATACCCAAGCTAAACCTCCCCTGGTACAACCTGAGGCCATTTCCTCTTGTCCCATCACTTGTTACTGGGAAGAAGACCCCGACAGCCCACCTCACCACAATCTCCTTTCAGGTAGTTGTGGAGAGTGATAAGGGCTCCACTCAGCCTCCAGCTAAACCACCCCAGTTCCCTCAGCTGCTTCTCAAAGGACTCATGCTCCAGACCCTTCACCAGCTTCGTTGCCCTTCTCTGGATGTGCTCCAGCACCTCAATGTCTTTCTTGTAGTGAGAACTGAACCCAGTATTCGAGGTGTGGCCTCCCCAGTGCCGAGTACAGGGGGTCAATCGCTTCCCTAGTGCTGCTGGCCACACTGTTGCTGATACGAGCCAGGATGACATGGGCCTTCCTGGCCACCCGGCCACACTGCTGGCTCACATTCAGCCACCTGTTGACCAACACTCCCAGGTCCTTTTCTGCCGGGCAGCTTTCCAGCCGCCCTTCCCCAAGCCTGGGGTTGTTGTGACCCAAGCGCAGGACCCAGCACTGAGCCTTGTTGAGCCTCGTACCATTGGCCTTGGCCCACAGACCCAGCCTGTCCACTTCCCTCTGTAGAGCCTTCCTACCCTCAAACAGGTCAACGCTCTCATCCAACTTGGTGTCATCTGCCAACTAGATGAGGGTGCACTCAATCCACTTGTCCAGATCATTGCTAAAGATATTAAACAGAACTGGAGCCAATGCTGAGCCCTAGGGAACACCACTTGTGACCAGCCACCAACTGGATTTAACTGCATTCACAACTCTTTGGGCCCAGTCATCCAGCCACTTTTTTACCCAGCAAAGTGTACACCCATCCAAGTCCTGAGCAGCCAGTTCCTCCAGGAGAATGCTGTGGGAAACAGTGTCAAAAGGTTTACTAAAGTCTAGATATACAACATCCACAGCCTTTCCCTCATCCACTGAGCAGGTCACCTTGTCACAGTACCTGCCTTTCATAAACCCATGCTGACTGGGCCTGATCACCTGATTGTCAGATGACAGCACACCTCTTGTGTGATGGCACCCAAGATGACCTGCTCTGTAACCTTCCTCAGCACTGAGGTCAGGATGACAGGCCTGTGGCTCCCCAGATCCTCCTTCCAGGCTTTCTTGTAGATAGGCATCACATTTGCTAACCTCCAGGCAACTGGGACCTCACCGGTTAGCCAGGATTGCTGATCAATGATGGAAAGTGGCTTGGTGAGCACCTCCACCAGCTCATTCAGCACCCTTCGGTGGATCCCATCCAGCCCCATAGACTTACATGTGTCTAAGGGGTGTAGCAGGTAGCTAACCATTTCCCCTTGGATTATGGGGGCTTCATTCTGCTCCCCATCCCTGTCTTCCAATTCAGGGGGCTGAGTGCCCCGAGAAAAACTGGTCTTACTATTAAAGACTGAGGCAAAGAAGGCATTAAGTGCCTCTACCTTTTCCTCATAGTTTGTCACTCTGCTTCCTCCCTGCATCCAGGAAAGGATGGAGACTCTCCTTAGACCTCCTTTTGTTGCTAATGTATTTATAGAAACATTTTTATTGTCTTCTATGGCAGTAGCCAGATTAAGTTCTAGTTGGGCTTTGGCCCTTCTAATTTTCTCCCTGGAAAACCTCACAACATCCTTGTAGTCCCCTTGAGTTGCCTGACCCTTCTTCCACAGGTCACAGACTCTCCTTTTTTTCCTGAGTTCCAGCCAAAGCTCTCTGTTCAGCCAGGCTGGTCATCTTCCCCACCGGCTCATTTTTCAGCGCATGGGGACGGCCTGCTCCTGCGCCTTTAAGATTTCCTTCCTGAAGAATGTCCACCCTTCCTGGACTCCTTTGCCCTTCACAACTGTCTCCCACAGGACTATGTCAACCAGGCTCCTAAGCAGGCCAAAGTCTGGCCCCAGAAGTCCAAGGTAGCAGTTCTGCTGAACCCCCTCCTTACTCCTCCAAAAATCAGAAACTCTATCCTTTCATGAGCGCTAAGCCCAAGACGGCCTCCAACTGTCACATCACCTACAAGTCCTTCTCTGTTCACAAACAGGGCCCCTTCCCTAGCTGGGTCCCTCACCAGCTGTGTCAGGAAGTTTTCTTCCACACATTCCAGGAACCACCTGGACTGTTTCTTCTCTGCTGTACTGTACTTCCAGCAGACATCTGGTAAGTTGAAGTCCCCCATGAGAACAAGAGCTAGTGTCTGCAAGACTTCTCCCAGCTGCTTACGGAATATTTCATCTGCCTCTTCATCCTGGTCGGGTGGTCCGTAACAGACTCCCACCATGATATCTGCCTTGTTGGCCTTCCCCCTGATTATTATGCATAAACACTCAACCCCATTGTCACCATCATTAAGCTCTAGACAATCAAAACATGTCCCAACATACAGGGCTACCTCACTGCCTCTCCTTTGCCCATCCCTTCTGAGGAGTTTATGGTCACCTGTTGCAGCACCTCAGTTTGAGTCATCTCACTGTTTCTCCGTAATTGTCAGTAGCAGCCTTCTGCAACCCCACCTCATACAGGTTTCATATTTTCTGTGACAACAGAGAGCTTAGAGTAGAACCTTAATAACAGGTGAGGATGTCAGAGGTACACGACTTAAACCTTGTTGAAGAACTTGAGCACATATGAAAAGCCCATAGCAAAAAACGGATCCTGTCTGCATCACTGTCTATGCTGATATGCATTTGGGACACACCTTGCAATTTTGGGGAAAAAATGCTCTGTGATTCTTTCCCAGCAGTCAGTCAACACACTGAACTTGCCCATCTCCTGAGGAATTGAATTGAGTAAGGCACTGAACAACTCTCACTGCTCAAGCAGCTTAACTTGCAACCTGAGATAACGCAAGCACCAGCTTGTGACATAAACCTCACCCAGCAATATAAGCTAGCAAGTTTTACAGTACTGGCACAGTTTGTTACATAAAGATAAGCAAATATACTTCTTCAGCCTCTTACCAGTGACCACGGCCCATTTTCCATACTGCTTGACAAGATCAACCTCGCTGCCCAGCTTTGGAATTAAATGCAACCTAAGCATGCTGTAAGTGTCAAATGCAAGTGAGACACACTTTCTGACTGTGTACCAAGCTCCAACTATAGCCAGGGCCTCTACGTAAAAACTGCAGGAACGACTGATCTCCCTGTACAAGAGGTAGAAACGATCCACTGCAGCCATGGTGATCACAAGCCTGGAAAAAAATGAAAGAGACACAAGCAGTTACAATCACCTCTTGGGCCACATAAACTTTTCAGAGTGAACGGATAACCTTTGAGATTCAGCATGTTACAGTCTGAGCACCATTTTGATGCAGAAAAGCCACAAGTCAGCATACTAAAATTTGGGTATCACCTACTATCATCCTCATTGATTTAGCTACTGTTTATCCCATGTTCAAGGCTGTAGCTGCAACGACACTGTAAATAAAACAATTCCAAATCCAAGCAGATAAGGGAAGCTCAACATGTAAAAAATAATTTGGGGAAGATTAAGACCCACCTACAGAAGAGGCAAGGATAATCAGCAGGAGAGAGCTGAGCACACAAGAAACAACACACTCTTCCAAGCACAGACAGCTACGTGAGAGACACAGCAAGCTCAGAGACAGAAGCGTAACTTTAGACCCTGGCACCATCACAAAGCACTAACCCTTTCCCAGCGATGCATGGCATCTACCGTGCTTTTACGGTTTGAAAATTCCTGAGGCAGGGGCCAGTGCCATGTATTAATGTCACAGCGCACACCGCAGACAGCGTGCCGCGCCTCACGAGGTCTTTACTAGCGACTAATTTTTTAAAACAAACCCAAAACCCAACCGCCACCTCCTCGGCAGCACTCGATGCACAACCGGAGCCGGCAGCCTACCGCCGCTTGCTTCAGCGCCGTTACTCACCGCCCTCCCCTCACAACGCGCACCCCGGGCCAGGAGGGACAGCGGGCCGGGCCCGGCCCGGCGCCTCGGCCCCGCGCTCACGCCCACCCCGGGGCCCTCCCTGGTCCCGGGCGGGCTGTAGCAGAGGGAAGCAAACCCCGCCGCGGGGAGCCGTCCCCCCGCTCCCCGCCCGCAGCTCCTCACCCCGCCCGCGGGGCCGGGGCCGGGGCCGGGGCCAGGGCCTCGCCGCCGCCGCCGCCGCCGCCGCCGCGCTGGGTCGCCGGGAGCGGCCGCGGGGCCTTGTGGGCCTGGGCGCAGCGTCGCCATAGCGACGGCGGCGGTTGGGACGGCTGAGGCGGGGAGCGCGGCCCGCCGCGCCTCAGGGGAGGCCCGGGGGTTCGGTCTCCCCGTCCCTCGCCGTTACGTCCCCGTCTGCCAGGGAGATACCGCGGCGAGGGCAGAAGAGCGGGCGCCGACCCCGGGCTCGGGTCCGAACGGCCGGCCCGGGTAAACGGAGTTGGAAGTTTAACGGGAGATGAAGCGGTGCGCTCTCGGACACGAGGCTACAGCAGCGAAAAGTGCAAGGTTGGGGGAGGGGGGGGGAGGAACAGTGGCAGCATCTGCAGTCTTTGTGAGGAGACTAAAATTCGCCTCAGGGACCCGCCCGGCTTGCAGGGGTGCGGCGGGCAGGCTGTGCCTCCGAGGTGATCCATCGCTTCATCCCCGGCTCGGCAGCTTCGGAAGGAAAAAAAGTCACTCGCTCTGCTTTGCGAGGCTCCTCGGTCTGAGGGAGGGCTGTTTGTGAGCACTCTCTGCTCTGAGTGAGACCCACAGTCCGCAGGGTTTAAGTTAAACTCTCCCTGCCTTCTGGTATCTTCACAGTGAGTAGCCTCAGGTTGCCAGCTCCACGCAGGCTTCATAATTTACTCATACAGGCCTTCTTATCTGTAACAGGTTCTCCTACTGAAACCTTTAGATGTTTCGTCTGGAAAGGTTGGACTGTAAATCAAATGCTGCCTTGGGTGGTGTTTGTCTGAATCACGTATCTTACAATGCAGTCACAAATTGGAGACAATGGCCTTGGAAGGGAGATTACTGTGCAAGAGGTGTCAGGGGAATCTCTGGAGGACATCAGAAATGGAGCTACCCAAACTGAAAATGAAGGCAATTCTGTCAACACAGGTGAGCTCCAGCTGGCTCACTAAGACTAATTTAGGGAACCTTAATGAACAGAAAGCCTAGAGTTTGTCGTTACTCATCTGGATGCAATATGAGTTTATTCTTTCTCCCAGCAAAGTCACTGAAAATCTTGCTATAACTGAGGCTTACTCAACTGCTATCTTGTGCTTTATTTTTTCTTCTTTTAAATTTTCTTCTTGCTGGAGAGATACCTTTTCCTTTGTTGCAATCATGCAACTAGCCTGACCTCCAAATGTTTTAATTAAAATCATATTTAAAAGAGCTGGTACATCTTGTTTGCACGGTCTCTTTTTAAGTGTATGGACCACAAGTGCAACTAGAAGGTGCAGAGCAAGAATCTGAAGAGAAGAGTCTTGAAAATGCAATTAATCAGAGGCAGTCTAGAGACAGCTTGAATGAGTATAGCAGTGGAGACACCTTCCAAAGAGTGCAAAAGGGTAACTTTGTAGAAGAGCTAGACTAAGATTGATGTGCTTGACATGATTAAGATATACCAATTCTTTAGTCTCTTTACATGCAAAGTTAGCAGTCTTGTTAAACTCAAATTATTAATTAAATGTAATATATAGTAGATGTCTAAGACTGTAAGAACATTGGTGCCAGTACTTTATTGCCACTGTACGTTATAATAATTTTAAGACTAGTGAGTACTACTTGACTTCTGGATCTAAAAAAAAAAAGGCAGAATTCAACAGTTTATTTTGCTACTACTTATTTTACTACTTTGCCTTCTAAAAAAGTTAAGTTTCCTTTCATTAAAGATTTCAGCTAAAATCTTGGTTAGAATACTACTTTTCTTGAAATTAATATTCAAGTGCTTTTCAATATTTCTCTACAGTAGTTGACAACATGCCAATTTTCCCTACCCTTGCTGTTAAACTGCATTCATTTTCTTGCTTACAAAGATGTTAAAATTCAAGAGAAAGCCGTCAATGCTATGTGCAGAGAAGATCAACAGAATGAACAAAACTCAGATGGTGATCACAAATTGGTAACCAGCTCATTCAGTCAAAGAACAGAAGAAGAGAGGGGCTGTGTAAGGTAATATATTGAGGGTGTTTTTTTTATTTAAATCTTGGCATCACTGAAGCCAATTGGGAGTTTTGCTATTCTGTATGTTAATCTTAATTCAGGAGAAAATTTTGAAGATGAACTTGAGAATAATTGGTGATATTTCTAGCATCTGTACAGCCTTTTTTTCTGGCTACATCAGCAAACTACATTCTAACTGCATGATGTAGTCTGTTTAATGGATCTGGAGAAAACTGTGCAAACTCTTGTGGGAGTAATTTGTCAGTAGGTTTGACCATTTCTCAGCATCAATTCAGATGATGCATTGCATTAATTCATCACAATGTAAATATTACAGTTGTTGAGACAATTTTTAGCAGCAGAAATCCAGAGGTATCTCAGGTGGTTGTTGAGATACAACTCCCTTTTAAGCTCTGACTCTAATTCTTGTCCAGCATAAACCAGCATGTGCTGCAATGGCTATTCATTAATAGTTGTGAAATGGGATTATTCTCATGTTAGCTCTGACTAAGCACAACCTATATTTGGTACTATTTAATAACTGTTGAGAGTCTGGTCACATCGGTTGGTTACACAGTGATGTATAAGGAACAATGAACGTTTACCCTCCATTCCTTTAGCTGCTTACATGTTGGTGAAACTTCCCAAAGTTTATGTTGCTGCTAACTTTAACATGGCTGTTCTATTAGAGACAGTTACAGCCCTCTGAAGTCAAGGGAAAGACCCTCACCGAGTTATCAGGTGGTAGATCGGACTGTACATATATAGAAAACTTCATTATCCCGGGGTAATCAGCCTAGAACACTTCAGAATTAAGGTTTTATGAAGAATGATGACAGAGAGCAATAACTGCACATAAGATAATTTGTGTTTTGAAGGAACATGTTTTATGATTCTATAAATTGCCTGAGGATGGTAGTAATTTGATTAAATGCTACTGCAAATAGCACAGTGAAAAACTGGGATATGCTGCAAGTAGCTACTATGCAATAATGTACCTGGGCTGACAATACAAGAAAACAGTATATATTTAAAGATTTTGCTCAAAGTTAATAAATCTTTAATTCCTTCATAGATTCATCAGGCACGTTTGGCTCACAGGGCAGTTACAGGCTGACAATCATATTTTATAGCGCTCTAAGAACACAATTGACTAGTTGACTGTATTACAGTTTTGTTCTTCAGCAATATTGAAATTTTTAGTGTAGTAAGTAAGTATATCTAAAAGCAAATTCGTTAGGAAAGATTTAACTTCACTGCCTTTACTCAAGTTTTTTTTGTGATTTTGAAAACATCTTCATGCCAAGAAAATCTTACTGTTACAGACCTTTGGCCTACAAATACTTACAACCACAAATGCAAAGTTCAATTTGTTAAGATGGAATTTAGAAGTAGAAAATAATATTTGATCATTTAACATGGTACTTCTGCGGTATTTCTTTAAGTGAAGGATATCTACTAGAAGTTTTATTCTGGAATTTTGTTTTACATAATCTAATCTTTCTAAGTGGGAAGATAAGAGATATTTCTGCTTTGGAATGGTTTTGCTACATGTTTTCCTGAGGGGTTCTCAAGTTGCTTGGCTATAATGTTACTAAATTTTATGTAGCCCTGGACACCTTGCCTCCAAAACCAGTGTCCTGTCATTCTTTGCAAAGCCCCTGCTAGAGGACTACCAGCTCCATGAAACTGTCAGCCGGGCGCTGTCTAGCGCAGGGTCCCAGATAACTCATCCCATCCGCTGCTCCTCACTGCGATCCATTGCTGTATTAAGAGTTTTCAGGCCACCTGTGTACTGACTCACCACTTTGGGGGTTTGCTGTCCTGCTGACTGCTGTCTGCAACTTTGGCCTCGTTTGGCCGCTGTTAGCTGCCAGCCCAAGGGCTTTGACCCCGCAGCCTCTGCTGTTTCCCACTGCAGCTTTCTACCCAATGCCTCTTGCTGAGTCCTCTGCCCCTGCGCTGTTCAGCTGTAGCCCACAGCTTCCCTGAGTAACCTTTTCTTGCTTATATAAAACCCAAAAGGAGTGGAGCTGAACATTAAACAATTACAACTGAACAGGTATTACTCATTTTCTTACTGTGGCATTCCTAGCCAATCCCGGTTGTGTATTAAAACTGTCTTGAGTGCTATTTCAGAGTCGGCATTTCATTAAAATGTTAGGTTGATAACTTGATTTTTCTAGTCTGACAAAAATGTTGCATATTGGCTATGCCACCAAAGGTCCTGCACCAAAAAAGCAGGGAATGGAGGAAAGAATTGGAGAGGAAGGAAACAGAATCTAACATAGAATCATGCTGCTCTTTTCCAAGTAGATGGACTCTCTAATTACCTACCCACTTTCCTACCTACTCTCTGTTTTTTAGCAGAAGAGCCTAGTGACTTACTTCAAACAGGTAGAAATGGGAAGCCACACTAAAGAAACTACTGCTTTTTTATTTGGAGTATTGACTTGAAAGTTGTAGCTATTTCTCTTGCATAAAAGATCTACTAATTGTGTTGCATTGAAGTCTGTTAAAAACTCAAAGATTTCAGAATATGCACTGAAATACATTTTTTGTTTTGTTTCTGCTTCCCATTATTATTTTAGAATGACAAAAAAAGTTCTGAAAGAAATCTGTAAACAGCAGAAATTATACTGGACTCCATACTTAAATGATACGCTTTACTTGCATTATAAAGGTAAGATGTAGACATGACTGTTTAGATTTATCATTCCTGAGTAGCATTTTAGCAGGGAATTATTTTATGGCTCACTGAAGTAAGGTATCTAATAATTCTTTTAAATTAGAAACATAATTTAATTTTATATAATAACGAAATTGTGAAACAGGATTCAGTATGAAGGTAGGAAAATGGCTATAAACCTAATCCAGTTTGTAGAGTCATTCAAAGGATCGATAAGAATCAAGGGACACTTTCCCCCCCCCCCAAAAAAAAAAAAACAGTAGCCTCTCAGAACTGTCATAAAATTCTGGTCTGGGTTGCATTCAGAGGAAAATGTATGTATTTCTTGTTAAATGTGTTTGTATAAAGATGGTGTTCTCCAGCTTTGGGGACTTTTTACTGCCAAATAAAAATGGTCAGGAAGAAAATGAACCATAAACACTTGCTGCATGTTCTCGGATATTACTGAAAGAAAAAAAAATTGCTAGAATGAACACGGATCATCCTCTTGTGATCTTCCAGCAGGTTTTTGCATGATATGGTTAGCTGGTTCAGGTTACCATAAGAATTCTTTTAAATAAATAGGACATGTTAAATCTACTGTCTACATTTGACCTTGGGTTTGCTGTTTTCTCAAAATGTATTATTTGGGCATCTAAAGGGCTGCACAAGATATAGGGCAGAATAGGTACCTATATGTTTTTGCCCTTTGTGGGCCAGGTACTGTACCATTAATTCAGTGGAAATATTGACAGCAGCATGTGTACAAGTGTTCTCACAGGCTGTTTCAGCAGCACTAGTTTAATGAAATTTACTCTTCCAAGGACTTGTTTTCAGGCAATGCAATTTCATTTTAAAACATCTTTTTCTGCAGGATTTGATCGCCTGGAGAATCTTGAAGAGTATACTGGATTGAAGTGTTTATGGCTGGAATGCAATGGCTTAACAAAAATCGAGAATTTGGAGGCTCTGACAGAGTTGCGTTGCCTCTACTTGCAACTCAATTTAATTAACAAAATTGAAAACCTTGAATGCTTACAAAAGCTGGATTCCCTCAATATCAGTAACAACTACATTAAGACCATTGAGAATCTCTGTAAGAACTGGTGGTGCAATATGTTTTAACCTATAGTGAGCTCATATTCCTAAACTTTGAGTAAGCTAAGCTGTTATTAGTGGCACTAGTTTCAGGGGGCTTTTTACTCATGTTAAAATTTTGCACAGTATTCCAAACCAAAGACCACAAGGCTTCTACTGAAGAGTCAAACCTATGCATTTTGCAGTTTAAATAGGTGAGAAAACAGAGAAGACATAGTAATCACTTTCATGTGGAAACATAGGACAATTAAGTAGTTTTTCCTCACTTCTTAATACCATCTCAGTACTGTGTTGCCAACAGGCTGACAATCCAGTTCTCACTGTTTACTGTACAGTTAAGATGTGCTTTGGCGGTTGCAGATATGATTACCAAATTTTTTATGTCTGTTTAAGGGATTTATTCCATCTTCAGCAGAAAATGGAAAATAATTCCTCTACATTATCATTTGTGTACACTGGGAATAATTTGAAACATGAGCTCTTGCTTTCATGTAACCAACTAGTTTGAAACATGAATTAAAACCAAACAACGCTTGTTTCCAGGGTGAAGAAAGCAGTTTTGGAGGCCTAGACAAAAACTGCATATAGCAGAATAACAAATTTAGAAAAAAAGCTCCCAATTCAACATAAACAATTATTTTGATAATGCAATTTTCTGCTTGGTCCAGAAAACTGTCTATGAAGCAATGACTCTCACCTTTCCTTTCATTGTACTGTTCTTGTCTGACAGCTTGTCTGAAAGCCCTGCAGACTCTGCAAATTGCTCACAATAAGTTACAAACGGTGGAAGACATACAGCACTTGCAAGAGTGCCCAAGTATTTCTGTTCTCGATCTTTCTCACAACAATCTGAGTGATCCAAGTATTATAAATATTCTGGAGACCATGCCTAATTTGGTAAGCCACATATAAGCTGAGGGTTTGTATCATTATATGGGTGAATCTCATTAAATGGGACCCCACAAACTACATTGTTGGGTAGTCCAGTGCACAACAGGTTGTGGTCTAAAAGAAATGTTATTAAACATTACTTGTTTTTTTATAGATTACCTGTAACACCCAGGATGTTTTATTCACTTCTTGGTTTTTAAATGATAGAGAAAGTGCAAATCCATGTTGGGATTTTTTTGCTACTCAACTTTAGAAATTGTTTCCCTTCCTTCTCTAGCATGTGCTGAATTTGATGGGAAACCAAGTGATAAAGAAAATTGCTAATTATAGAAAAGCACTTATTGTTCGACTAAAACTACTAACATATCTGGATGACAGACCAGTTTTTCCAAAGGACAGGTAAGAAACAGAGCCATCTTCTTTAGACAGCAATAAAGCACAGATGTTAATGATCATTCATCCATTTTTTGTCAATATTGTCATGGAAGGAAAGAAAGACTAACAGGTATAATTTATTGAGGGTGGGTGACAGAGCACAAGAGCATTTTACTGTGAAGTTCTACATCTAACATACCTAGAAAAAAACATGTATTTTTTCACAAGAGAATTAATTCTTGATCAGAATTGTTTTACACCGAGACTGTAGACCAGAGGCAAATGCCAATTTCAAGAGAAACCAAACAGGTGTCTGGGAAAGCAGAGCCAAGATCAGCACTCCTGGCAGATCCCTGGGGTGTAATCACCTGCATTTGGATATCCTTGTTTCTTTTGTTGCAGTTCCACATACAAGATAAGATATGCATGCATCCCTATTGCATAAGAGATTGTCAATGCTATATGCTTTTTTTCTTTTGCAGCTATTTCATGCTGTTGTGAGCTATTTTAAATTTCTCTCTCATTATAAAGATGGGCTTTTCTAGCTATGTTACAGTGAGCTTGTGTGTTTTCATTAGAGCCTGTGCAGAAGCCTGGGCTGTTGGCGGGCTTGAAACTGAGAAAGCAGAAAGGGAAAAATGGGAAGCCAGAGAGAGAAAAAAAATCCAAGATAGCATCGATGCTTTAGCAGCAATCAGGCAAAAAGCAGAGGAAAAGAAAAGACAAAACTATATGGAAGAAAGAAATGCAAGCACAAAATGTGAAAATAGAGATGGAACAGACATCGTAGAAGGTTTGTGGTTGCTATTTTGGAAGATGTCTGCTTCAATTTGAATGTTTAAGTTAATAGTTCCTAAATGTTCAGAAACAGGCTGATGCAATTTTTAGAATATATTGATAAATCTTCTTTTCCCATAATAAATACTTTATTGATCTTGGTGCATCTTAGATTAACCACAATGATTTCAAGCAATCATCACCTTTCTCCCTGCTGATGAAACAAAAAAAAACAACAGACCGCTTTCTGTCCCAGTGTTTCAAGCTCGTGTGCTCTTCCCCAGAGCATCCAGCTGCTAGTCAGGGTGATGATGGTTCCAGCAGGTTCATGGGTGGGGGCAGGCAGTTACACCCCAAGAGCAATATTTCCCCACAGTGCAGAACAGGGCTGGCTTCAGTAGGCAGGTGGGCTGCAGTGAGACCCAGGGATAACCATCTCACCAGTCCCCATCCAGGCACCTCTCCACTGCTGCGTTCACTAACAGTAAGAGCTTCAGCCGAGAGCCTGCAGCAGTGGTAGTCCAGGCAGTAAGAGGAAGGGCTTTAATCATTTGCTTCACTTACTGACCTTTTTTATGCCACAAATTCTCCTGTGATGTTATTCAAGGAGGCATATGTGTATGACCAGTAATAGGTCCCAACCCAACCTTTCTAGAGAAGTGTGCCTGTTTCAGGGTAAACAGGACTGAAGCCAAATAAGAAGACAATGCTACAATGCAGAGGAGTGTTTATCTATCTATCTAATACCTTTTGGGGTTTCACAGGCTCTGAAATCAAACATGGTTGCCTAACAATTAAAACTTTTTCTGCAAGCCAGTAGTTTGCGTATAGGAGAGGATAACTTCAGCATTTGTCACTAATCTGTCAAAATGCTCAAGCATATATTTAAGTATCTAGTCACTTGTGAGTCTTTTCAAAGTTAACTATAGACACCAGAAAATTATTTACTACAGTGTTTTCTCTAGATTATCTTTTTGCTGGGGAACTGTATTTGCTGGGGAGTTGAGATGGGAAAACCCACAACATTGCTGCAGTCATGATCCACGAATAGCTGCTCAAACAAAGTAGGAGCTTTTGATGCATGTTTTAGGCCAAACTGTTAGGACCATGTAGTAAAGTCTGGATATTTAGAATGAGTAGTGGTAGATTAACTCAGCAATTTTAATGAACTTGTTTCTTCTGTAGGAGCACATGCCAATCCAGACAACGGTGTTGAAAATCCTGATACATCAGAGACTTCAAATATGTCAGAAGAGGAAGAAACTCAAGAGAAGCCTGAGAAATTTAGAAATGAAAGTTGTGATGCTCATGATGAAGTGATAACACCTCTACCAAATAGGGGAGATAACACAGATTTCACATCTGGAAATATTCCTGCTACAATTCAGGAGGATGCACAAGAATCAAGCTTTTCCAAATGCTCAAACTTTAACAAGAAGACAGATGGTAATGTAGGCTGTAAAGAACCAAACCAAACTGAGGATGCAGAGACAATGAGCCAGACTCTTAGTGTAGCGCTGCCTCTGCTGTGTTTCAAACCAAGGGATTCATGGATAAGAATATCCTATTAGATTTCCACAGTGACTAGTTGAAAATCAAGGAATACTGGATAAAATATTCTTTAAATACAACAAAGAAAAAAAAAATTCTGAGGGTTCAACCTGCAACTTCTGCTACATAAATGTGGAATTCCACTTCTCATAGGTGCCAGGTTTAGTGACAGGACAGGCAAGCTTACAGGCTTTCCTGCTTCCACTTAAACCGTGCGGTCTGCCTGCCACCAGAAACTGGACATCACTCTAGAGGTGGTTTTGTGCCTTCACACGTGGAAGAATGCTTTTGTAGATTTGTGGAATACATCATTGCAAAATGCTGATATTAATTTATACAGTATAAGGGAGACCAAGAATATGATGGAAAGATAAAGCACTAGATTCGGCTGTGAATTCTGCAGTGGTAGTCATGTTCCCAGCAAGCTGGTTTTGCCGTGCTTGTTGTTGCAATATATAAAGCCTTTTATCCAGTTAGTTCTCTAACAGCTAACTATTGTTTATTCTTTAGATCTACCAAGAGAGAAGTCAGCTACTGAAAGGGCTGTGCTTCCTGAACTGGATGAATATGCTGAAGTTGAACAGATCAAACTGGAGACGCCGGAGAAGCTTTATCTTGACGTATGTATTGGATTCAGATTTTGAGAAGTTCAGTTATTGTCTGCTGCAAATTAATTCTTGTAACATGTAGCTAACAAAACTATATGGCCAGGTTTCTAAGAAATAAAACTTACTATTAAGAAAAGTAAAAGGAAAGAAAGAAAAAAAAAACAAAAGTAAAGTTGTAGGGCTATTCATTCTTTCCAGTGTAGCATGTGTAAATAATTTACCACTGCTTCCAAAGTTCATTTTGTCCTTTGACCATAAATTACCTGAAGCTGACCTTCTATCTCTGTGATTACTCTAGAGAAGTTAATGAGGGCTCTCGTTTTAAAAACAGAAATCACAACAAAAGGAATCTAGTGGACACGTGTCCTCTTAGGCAAAACTCAAATGAAATATACGGTTGAAAATGTGAACTATTGCATAAAAAGCATAAGGAAGAAATAGCCACCCACTCACTGTAAATGTTAGCGAGTGATACAAGGTATTATAAATCAATTCCCAAAACGTAACTTTTAGGTATATTTCTAAGAAAAGCAGAATGTGCATTATTCAGGTATATAATAAGCAACTAACATTTGTAACCTGGTCTTCTCTTATCTAAGATTTCTATCTGATGATGCAAATATTTAAACATGTTTAACCACATTTAACCATGAGGAGGACATGGATAGCACTGAAAAATTCAATCTCGCTTTGAAGGAGAACTATTCAATTTGACCTAATTATGACACTGCTGCTGAAGTGACAGCGTCCGATTATGATGTAACTAGCAACAACAAACTTCTGAGCTTACGATTTCCCAGAGCAGTTAATATATTCTTTGATACCTTATACTGTCACTGTTAACTAAATTCTTACTGGAATGTTTTAGAAAAGTCTTTTATATCTTTTCCATGCTCTTAATTTCCCAGGAAAAAAGTCCATCCTGTTATCAAAGGGCTCAACTCGCTGCTTCTGTAGAGGGCTTACAGCTGCCGCCTCCTGTTTGACTGTTTTTAATAATAAGTTTAACAAGGATAGTGGAGAGAACTTGCAGCAATTCCAAGTACATAAAATATTACTTTTATAAGCAGATCTTGCAGTGTCTGAAAGAAAAGCTTTAAACAAAGAGCAATACTGTAGGTACCCCTAATGTGAAGATCTCATAGATTCAGTGTTTGTTTTTAAATTGGTGCTTTATGGCACCATAGCAAGCTGCTTTGCACAGACTTTAACACAGTGCATGGGTTTCCTTTTGACAGATAAGAAGTGTGACTATTCTAATTCTACAGAAGAAAAAACGAACCCAAATCACACACTACTACACATTTCAGTGTTCTATGCTACTTCATTCTCCAACTGACATTTATTAATGGCAAGAGCTTCTCACAACAACTTCCAGTACTTACACTAGTGCAGATTTCCCAAAGAGACGTAGCGCTGACATAGTAGGGGGTGGCTGTGAAGATGATGATGGTGAGAAGCTCTGGAGCAGCACGATCGTCTTTATTCATATATTGGAATCAGCAGTGTTAGAAGTCTCAGTAGTGATATAAGGGAGCAGAGTGGAGGAGGATTTGTAATGCAGTGGTTGTGACATCCCTCTGTCAAGCAGAAACAGGCTCGTGTTGCTGCACATGCTTTGTCAGTGCTTGAACTACATTCTGTGTACCTGAACCAGGATAACTTTTAGTAAGTGATTTTGGTTTGGTCTGCAAATGCACCCTGCTGACTGGAACAAAACTAACAGCTGTTTCACTTCCCTATTGACATCAAATTCCTCCCACTAATATTAGTCTCAAATCTTAATTCGTACATTTTTTAATGCTATTGTTATAAGACTGTGTGACTTCAGAATGTGCTGCACTAGCTACAGCCATATCAGGAAACAGAAATTTCCTTTGTTGATTTTAATTCTGTAATAATCTTCACCACACAAGACTGTACAGATTAGATGTTTCTGATGCTACCATGCTAAGCAGCTTGCTACAAAATCATTAAGCTCTAAAAACATCTTAAAACAAAAGGAGATGCTTTTACCAGTACTGATCCGCACTAAAAAAAGATGGCAAAAAATTATTACTTTCCACCTGTGATTTTGTATTCCTATCGTCTGTTTTTGCTTTCATGTCAGCAAATGATAGTTGTTTTAAATAACATTTTCCAATGGAAATCTGAAATTATTGGACTTGTCCAAGGAAAAACAGTTCTCAGCAAGTGTGCTGTTCTATATCCTTAATTATGAGGCATTCATAGTAAAACATTTATTATATGTATTTATGTTAACAGAGTTTACTGCAGATCTTGATTTGGCTCTTGCCCATAAAGATGCATTGCAGTTGATGTTAAGTGTATTAGAAAACAGAATTCAGTCTGACATTAAGGTTATTGCCTTCCCATCCGCTGTTTCTGGAGACAGATGAATTGTCCCACATGTGCTTAACAGAGAAAACTGTCATCCCGAGAGGATGACAGTGCGGTACTGCTGGCTACTGCTGGCTGTGGGCTCTTACCCCGAAAAGCATTGCTTTGAAGAAGATTCCCAGTGAGACAGAGCTGTTGTACTTTATTGGTTAGAGTAGCTTTTCCTACTGATTAATGATCTTGTGATTGTCTTCAGGAACTGCCTGATTTAGAAGATATAGACGTAACTGAATTTCCCCCAGAAGAGGAAATCTTTGTTCAAAAGGTAAGATTCTTATTAATTCCAGTGATGAAGCTTCCCTAAACACATTTACAAACATTTTGCAAAATGAGGATAATCCTAGTTATGAAATGCTGTTTTGGGAGTTGCAATCAGTCATACATTTATAAACAAAAGTTGATGGTTCAGCAGATCTTCTCTATCCACTTGGAAATATTTTTTAAATTTAATTTATTATATTATTGCATTGCAAGAATAGGCTAATGAAAACCTAAGATCAAGTAACACAACAGTTAAATAAGATTAATTTCTCAGTAGCATGTAGTGTTTTAATGAAGATTGCTCTTAAAGTATATTTACCAGTACTAATATGCTGCAAAGGACTGAATAGATAGACCACATTGCCTGCTACTGAATAAAACCAGACTTTTCAACTGAAAACATGGAGAGATTGAAACTCTTCTGCTCCCCTGTGGGCCAGTCAGATACAAGGCAGTTCATGCCCACATTAGCATTGTGCTGTGCTCAAACTAATGTGCTAGGCAAAAGCCTATAAACAGTAACAGGAGAGTAAAAAGAAAAAGAAAACAGCAAAGCTTAAAAGCACAGCTTTAGTTCTTGTGCTGATGCTGACTCAAACTTGCCGGGCTGGAGGCAGAGGCTGATACAGTACATGTTTTCACAAGTCCCTCCAAGATAATGGAAACTTTTCCTGCAGTGAGTGTAAGGCATGGAATTTATTTGCTCTCCTTGTCACAGACTCATAATAGTGTTGCAAAATGTCTTGGCCAACAAAGCCTCCAATTAAGAGGAGATAAGTAAAGGGAACAAAGATTACGGAAGGAGTGTGTGTTAGCAGCTCTCACGGTCCAAAGGTGTTCAGTTCTTAACTGAAGTCAGATGAAGATGTTAGTCAGGTCCCTCTGTTTGGAGGTAAAGTAATAGAACTGTGCTCACGGTTGCTGAATTGCTGAAATAGGTCTTCTTTTTATGAACTGTTAATAGTTTATGGTCAGTTAATCACTAACGCCTGAGAATAGTTAGTCCAAGATTCATCCACAAAGAAGCAGAGCTATGGGCAAAGCACATCTTCCATACGTTTTGGGGAGAGCAGCACATCAAGGCTGACAACTGTTGTGTGGATCCAAGAGATATTTACCCATCTTTTAGCTTTTACATCTAGAATAATGTATTTTCAATTACATTTTCTACCTTTACAGCAGGAATATCACCCAAAGATTGAAATAATTTCTGAAATGACAAATGACAGCGATTCTGCATTAGAGGAAAACAATAAAAGCATGTTTGAGAATTCAGTAGGAGAAGAAGTTCCAACAGCGATTTTTTCAAATGTCTCTAAGATACATAAAGAGCATGAGAAGGAGCACTTAAGACCCCTTGTTGAAAGCTTCTTTACAGAGCCTGCTAATTCAGAAAGATCCCTGGAGACCAAAGATAAACAAACCACCCCCTCAAAACTCTTGATACAAGAAGTTATCACTGAGCCCAAGCATAACCTACTGTTGTCACCAGTCTGCCATCAACCGGATGACCCAAGCCCATGGGAAGAGGATGGTAAGATTACAATGACATAATTAATCACAGAGAAAAAGGTGGGTAGCACATACACACTAAAAGTAAGGATTTGTTCAGGTCTTGTTGAAAAATTTTTCAATCCACGGATAGTTAACAACCACCTCTTCCTTTTTTTTTTTTATGTGGGAATCCTAATAAATTAGGGAAAAAAATGTTATACTCTTTTTCTACACAGGATTTCTTGCTGAGTTTTATTTAAATAGTTTAACATTTCTTTTTCCAGTACTAAAGACCACCAGTGAGTTTCATTTGCCTTTTGCCTTCACGGTTTTAACAGGGAGTGTCAGTGACGGAGAAGTACAGTGCCTGCCTGAGGGTGAAAGATGTCCTCACAAAGCACAAGGCAAGGACAGCGAGAGTGGATTAGATTAATCACTTTGAAAAAACCCGACCAAATCTGGAGCAGGGTGCCTGGCTGGCTGCACGTGGTTATTCTCAAAATGCCGAGCTCAGCAGTGGGACCGTTAGTTAAAACTGGCGTAACACTGAGATATGAAAACCACCGCCTTCAGCAGGGGGGCTGAGCGTTTCAGGCAGTCAGCGGCTGCCGCAGCCTCCAGCGTCTGACCTTCTGGGCAGCACTGGTGGTTGTGTGAGCGTGGAAGAAGCCCCCAATCTGCTGTAACCTGCAGGCAGCGAGGGCCCCGCGGTCCCACCGCCAGCCAGCAGCGCGCACCGCTTTAGAAGCGAGGGCGCTACTGTTCTAAGGCTAAATTCCACTCTCTTATGCCATTTTTATCCTTGCATCCTTCCAGAAATTACTTAGTTAAACGTTTGTATCTTTGGGTTTCATGACAGACCTAGTATCAATGCACAATGTCACGTGTTCCTGTCCTTTGAACTAAATAAAGATTCTACTTGTAACCACATACATTTTAACTTGTATCATCTCCTTACCAGTATAGTCATACCAGATGGACTTCAGTGGCAAATGGAGATTTCTTCTTAACATGGTATTTTACAGATCTAATATTCATAGATATTATGATTGTTTATGCAAAACCAGATGCAGAAATAGCATCCATGCATGGAAAACCTGGTTTTACACCTTGTAGGTAAATATACTGAAAATACGATATAACTTATATAGTATAATATAAATATATCTGCCCTTTGCATTGTTTTTCTTTGTGGGGTGCATCTCAGGATCTGGATTTTGAATCTAACAGAAAAATAACCAGCCAGTGACTAGTGGCCGAAAGACAGCTTTGGTGCAAAAAGCCAACCAAAGGAATCTTCCTTCGTTAGCTTCTCTCTCACACCACAGGCGTAGTCTTGTGCCAAAGTGAAATGGAAGAGAACAGCAGTGATGCTTCAGTCAGGTCCCCTCTTCCACTCCTTTTTTTTTTTTTTTTCCTTCTCCCACTTCTGAGCTAGAGAATAAAATTCAAAAAAGTGGAGATTGCTTGGGAGCAGCACTTCCTCTGCCATACCACAAAAAAGGAGTTGGGGGAAACAGACAACTCTTGGCCAATTCTGCTGAGGCATTAACGGCTCTCATTTTCCTAACGCAGAAGTGGTTGTGCTAGTCAGTTAAAAAAATAATTGTACACATGAAAGAGTTGGCCTCATCTTCAAGGGCTGGTGTTGATTTTATGATACAATGAACAATCACATCAGGAATAAGCTAGACCTCACTTCATTAAGCGATACCCAAGTTTAGGTAGGTGTCTTTTAAAATATTTCTATAAATCTCTAATAATTTATAATAAGTAGAACTGAACGAGTCTTGTAGATGTACACTTTTAAAGAAAAAAAGTATATTACTGTGGACTTGTTGAAAAGATCTATTTCCAATTAGCTGCGGTTAGGTGCCATCTGGTGGTAGGAGAACTGGTCCTAACAGTAACAAAATAATCATAAAAGCCCTCAGGGAAGACAACACAATTGCTTTAAACTTCAGTAATTTTCCACCTTCCATGAGTAAAAACACACTGGCAAAATCCTTGGCCTCCAGGACAGGGCAGGAGGATGAGCAAGGGCCTGTGGAGAACAGGCTTGTCTGAAAGCATCTTCACAGGATCTTCTCTTTGGAAAGCTACAAATGCTGCCAATGTGTGAGCTCAGTCCTAAAAAATACCTGCTTCCTTTTTCTGACAGAAAGCTGGAGAAGGTCTACTTTGAGGGCTCCAGGTTGTACATTTCTTGTGCTGTGCTTTAGTGCCTGTCCTGGTACTCCCTTACTACACTAAGAACAAATGAGCAGGAAGGACTGCATTGTCACATCACACTTAAAGAAAATGTTTATAAACAAATGAATTTATAAAATAATTCCAAGAGTGACATTCGCCCTCTATTATCACTGAAAGCAAGACAAAAAAAAAGGATAAAAAAATGCAAGTAATTTCAAGAACTATAGATTCCTTTACTCTGATCCTGATTTTACCAGATATACCTACCCTGACCAGCATTTTAGTTTGAAGAATGCCACGGCTTTCTGAGGTGTGCCTACCATGCCATATTTTGCGTGCCAGATCTCTCCAGCTCCTGTTTTTTGCACACAGATGATCACAACCCATCAGTGGGCCCTGTGCTACCTCACAGATGAATCTCCTGAATTCCTGGAAGCTGTTAGCACTTGTCGATGAGGACTTGGGAATGAGGAAAGGAGTAAGGGGTAGGCGAAAGTACTGACAGAAATGCCAGAGCAGGACGAAATGAGAAAAAGGAAACATGTTTAATTAGTGTTTTCTGTAAAACTTTACAAATGTACAGCATAGTGCAAAAACGCAGTCTCAGCACATCACCTTCAAGTAAAATTAACAATGTAAAAAGCCAAGGAACACAAGCTTGCTTCTTCACAGGAGAGGCTCTGGAGTACTGTTCCTGGAGGTTCCTCTCTCACCATCAAGCTCCAATCTCATGTTTATAGTCGAGCAAAAAGCCTAAAGAAAAACCCAAGAACCACCCCAAGTGGCTGCTCGCAGCGAGTGCGATCTGCCGCTTGGCACCGCAACAAACGCTGCAGCCCGAGATGGTGTCGGGCAGCCTTGCTGGCTGAGCTGCACCTTTGTCTGCTCGCAAGTAGCCCTCCCAAGATGGTTCATTTCTCAACCCCAACTAGGCAAGCCAGTAAGACACTGCAGCGTCTGTCTAACGACAAGCATGTGACAGGCTTCATAAAAATATGGGAAAACTACTCAGGAGCTCGAAGTTAAGCACGTGCTTAAATACCTTATTGGATCAATACATTCAGTGTTAACATTAAGGCAATCTAGCGTGTGAAAGATTCAAGAGAAGGATGTAAATCTTGAATGGGGATAACATGCACTGTCAGGTGATATGAGACACCAGGCAGTTTCCAATTACCAATGAGAAAAGAAGTAAACAGTGCAACTCAACGACTCTCCATCACTGGAAATGACAAAATACAGTGGTTTAAATGGGCTGATCTAGGTGAGCTTTCCAAGCACAAAGCTGTCAAAAAGGAAAACCTTGTCCATGATACACTCAAGTACATTATCTAAATACCAGGCCAATGGGGGCTGCCAGAATTTTCCCTTAGTCCTGAACACAAAAAAAAAAAAAAGTGGCTGGAATTAATTCAGAAGCTTTCACAACCTTGCTTCTGCAAAGACTGCACCACCAAGGTGGTGACAGAGCTCCCAGCACACAGTAATCAGCTGGGGGGGAAATGTGCTCAAAAGTTAATGTTTCCGAACTAACACATCTGTTCACATACTGCTGAATAGATGGAGGAAAGGGCTGTGACAGGAAGGTCCATTTAGAACATGCTCATCTTATTAAGGAGAATTTGAGCCTGCAATCATCTGACTGATTGACAACACTTTGGAGTGGATGCTGCTTGACCAAGATGCACAGAAATGTGGCTTAGAACCAAGAATCGTTATGGCAACAAAAGTGGGCCGAGCATTTCTTCAAATGATACTGGCATGGCTTCTACCTCCCTGTCTAGGCCCTCAGGAGGCCTGAGTTAGTTGAATTTCCTGGGTCTGTTTTACTGCATTTGGTTAGGTTTCCTAAGGAAAAGCAACTCAGTTAGAGGATAGTGAGATAAATAGTATGTTCTCATTAGAACTACAGCATAAAAAACAAAGCTCTGCTTTGTTGAGAAACTCAGTTGTCAGAAACCACATGGAAGAGGAAGATTAATTCAACCTTTGGGGGCTGGTCTCAGATGCACAAAGGACAGAAGAAAAGTTAGTGGGACATGGTGGACTAACCCTTCTATCTCTCTCCTACACTGAGCAGCTGAGAGTCCTTCTAAAAAGGGGATCCAATCAATTAAACTGGTTCTTCAGATTTTATACGTCAATAAACCAACAGGCACAGCTTCAGGGGAAATAGAACAGGTCAAGGCCAAAGAAAAAAATCGTTGGACTGGACATGGAATACTTAGCCAGCACCAAAACCCAGAGTGTGCTCCCTCAGTCCTCTTTGCACATGGAAAATTACAAGTGCAGAAGAGTCTATCCCTTTTTTTTTGGTTTTGTTTTGGTGTTTTTTTTTTTTTTTTTTTTTTTAAAGTATGGTGTGCCCTGTCTTTATGTTAGAGAAAATAAATTTGGGGAAAAAAAAAAAAAAACCAAACAGCAAACCCTCTCAACTAAGCATGGGATGGTTTGGGGTCTGTGATGGTCTGCAGCTCCTTTAGCAGACAGAGACACATTCTTGGAGTGGTCACTCAGAAAATGATCTTCTGCACACCCCAAGACATCTTCATTTTCCTACTCACCCTAGGAGAATAAGGGAGAGGCAGAAGTACATCCCATCAAAACCAGAAAATGGATAAAATAATATTTTTAGAGCATTGGACTGGCATATAGAACTATTTTCCTATTTAAAAAACAGCATCCAGAAGGATCAGGCACCTTAGCTAATCTGTGCTGCCCCAATAAAACCCAACAGTTTGCTGTTGCAGACACTAGTCAGGATCACTTTATTTAATGAAGACCCTGATGTACTTTCAAGCTACTCTCCACTTTAAATTTTATTAGAAGATTTGAAATTTCTAAAAGCATTTTCAAGAAAAATAATCCTGCCAAGTTCTCACTCCCTATAGGAGCAAGCACCAGAAGCAGTATTTTGTTTTAAAATTGTTACCCTGGGCAAACACTGAAATCCAGGTGCAAGGAGGGTAATGCAACAGCTACTGATCACTTCCATCTACTCAAAAAGAAGGGGCACAAAAAGAAACTTTCTTGTGCGTTTCTGAGTCACTTTTGTTTCTTTACATTCAAACCTGCGGACGCTTGGATGGGTGGGAGGGAGATGTCGTTTCTTGGAAGCTAAATCACTGGTTGTTGTCGGTTGAAGAGCTCAGGTTTAATGGGATATCCCCTTGGACACCCACAGAGGACAGGTAGGAAGCCATATTTTCAGGTGGAACATAAAGTGATGAACTTTCAGGCAAGCTGATGAGGTCGTTTCCAAAGATGGACTGACGATCAATGAGGAACTGTTGGGTGCTTTCTAGAATGACATCTTTCCCTAGGAATGCAGACAGACAACAGAAAACTCAGTTTCTGGAAGGCACGTTACCAGACTTCACGTACGTAGAACTGAAAAGTGGCAAATCCCCACTGCAACAGGAGGTGAGGGGCCTCAATCCGGGCAAAAACCGCTTGGAAACACTTGAGTCAAACTTGGACTCACTCAAAAGCCCACTGAAATCGATTGGAACCCCTGCAGGTTGCCGCGCTAGCTTCTGCCTGAATGCTGAGAAGCCTCACAAGAAGTGAAAGAGATGACCAAAGGGTTGGAGGCACTGAGAAGTTGATAAGAGCAGCTTCTCTTCTCCTTCACTCAAGAACTGTCTGTTTTTCTTCATCTTTGCAGGAGGAGACATCTATCATTTGCCCCATTATTCTCGCAACATGCCACTGCGTGGACCAGAAAGGCTTTACATAAACAGGGGGTGTTCCTCTTGTGCAGTTCAGCTCCCACCCGCTTAAGAATGCTCTCCAGCCTAGCTGGGCTTTTGATGCTTTTGATGCTCATGCAAGATGCTGAGCTTAAGTTGGGGATGGAAAGTCCCTGAAGGACACACAATACATCAAAAGTCTGGGGTGGGGTCAGGTGGCTACAGCACCACACTAAGGCTCACAAAAGCTTCTCTTTCAGGTCTATCCCAGATGAATACACGTGAAAATAACAGTGTATCACTATTCCAAGACCAGGAAAACACTTCTAGATTCATATCTAAAGTCAATGACAAACTTTATCAGTCAGTGAGTGGGAGAAAATCAGCTGGACAGTTCCTGTGAGGTCTGGTAAAAGGTCTGGAGAAACTGAGACATAACCTTTGCCTCTGGCTGCTAGCAGCCACCTGGTCACCTCCTCTGCAGCAGGAGCTGGAGGAAACACAGGACCCATACAGCTCATACCACCCCTACTCACTTAGATCACCACATTGCTCTTAGGTGGCGATGAACTGGGAGAGAGAACAGTGGAGACACTGACAGATGTGATGTGGACTCAAGCAGAAACAGAGGTAGATCAATGACATTTAAAACTCAGTTTATCCTCCATACTCTTCCCACTGCTCAGTAACTAGTTTAGCACTTGTTGCAAAACATTGCTGACTGACAATCAGGAAAGTAAGGCAAACAGTCAGTGCTGGACTTTGCACCCAGCTGCTGACATGTTTAACACCTTGATTACATCTCCACTCCCGAGTCTGCAAGAGCTGCTAATGCTCCTACCTGGGCAGGCGTTGTTAAATGGTGGGTTGAACACTTTTGAGGACAGCTCAGTTGCATTCTTCTCCAGATCCACTGTGAGTCGCTGCATCTTGATGCAAAAATATAAACTACAATGTACAATTATACAAAGACAGGGGAGCTTGTTAGAACTAGGCCATTTCTGAAAATCAGTGCTTCATCAATGCTGCACAACATCCACCAGTAATGCAAGCTATCTTCCTGCCCTGTCTCTCCTCCCAGCCCCACCTGCTCTTTGCTAAAATAGCCAAAAGCATGTGCTCAAGGGCAGATATGCCTGAAGGAGAAGGCTAAGGGAGACATAATCCCATTAGCACTGGCTGATATGGTGTGAAGCTCATGTCACACGGGGAGGCCAGGCTAGCGTCACTGTGGTATGTCCCTGCCATACAAAGCAATCCCATAGTCCTCTGCAGCCAGCAACAAATATGAAAAGAATTTCCTTTCCATTTGCCTGTGACTGCCTTTAAAGTAAAACTAGCTTTTGCTTGCAGTGCTTCGAGTTGCAGAGTTGCTACAGGTATTACTTCCAGGCTTCTCTATGCTCATGACTTTCTATAGGATGAGCAAGCCTAAGGGTAGGCTGCATCAGATGCTGGGAAATTCAGTGGACTGAACTATTGAACATCGCCGCCTCCCTCTTCACAATCCTTTTTAAAAGAGACTGTCCCTTGCTTCCAAAACTTGCTAATATTAACTATCTCTTCAGAGACTCTCCTTCCTAACACTCAGGAAGTGGAATTATCTAGTATATTAAAAATCATTAAATCAAAACCTAAAAAGTATCGTGATGTCATAAGGAAGGCTTAGAAACCTTCCACACTTCATTAGAATAGATTATACTTTCCTTGCACTTTTGTAGAGATGGCAGAACCATCCAAGTCTTTATGTGACCTGGCTGGCAGTGAGGGCTCTAAATATTCACCCTCCATCAAGCAAGAAAAAGAACGAAGCCATGAAATACCTATTTCCTTCACTGTTTATTAAATCATGATATGGACTTCAGAAACGTCTGTGTCAATGTCAGTTCCAAACAAATAGTGCCAAACAATTTTTCCCTGGTTCTTCTGTATGGGTATGCATGAACCTCTATCCTAATTGCACATGGGTTCACGGCTCCTGAAATGTACAGGGATGGCTGAACTTTATAAAGGCATATTTTGTCAAAAGCTCTGGCATAAAGGCACTTTTTGAATCTATGGTATTAGTAGGACATGACATTCACTCTAAGAGAAAATTTAGAGTGGCCAGTTTCAATTAAAGACTCCAGGACACCAACACGTGTCTAAACAAGCTCTGGCAGCCTGGGAAAGACAGAGTATATCAAGAGTATTAGATAACTGTCAGCCTACCCCTAGGAGATGCAACTTGCTGTGCTTTACCACACTCTCCCCTCTGGCTATAAAATAAGTAAGCGTTCGTCAGTTATGCACAAGCTCTGCTTCATAATTACATTACTATTAATATGATTATCATCATCATACCTCAGAAATACACATCTCTTACCGGGGACAGACTGGCTTCCATTTCAGTCAAATTCCACTCACTCATAGATAAATTGGGATTAAAGACCTGTTGGGAGAAAAATACAATTAGGGCTCTGAAAGGTGCAATGCTTCGAGATACCCGTAGCCTCAGCTGCCCGCCTCGGCTGTCTGCTGGAGGCTGTAGCCCTGCTGGCAGAGATGCCAGAATGCACCTTCTGCCTGTGCCCCGGCTGCTCTGACCTATTAACCGAAGCTACAGGCACAGGCTCATGTGTGGTGATTTGTAGCACGGCCGGAACAGCGCGGGCTGGGCCGTGGAGGGGCAGCGCAGACACCCGGTGCCGCAGTCGTGTGGAGCCGGGACAGCCGTCTGTGGCACTGCACACGCAAGTCAAAGCCCTTTTTTGCTGCTCTTGGGTCCTAGGACACTTCCAGGTTCATATGGCTTTTTAAAAGCATTCCAAAACACAGTGGCAGAGGGCAGACTACCGCGGCACCAGTGCCTCAGTGGCAATCTCTTGAGAAGTCTGAGCAATGTGGGAAAGGAGCTGTTGATCTGGGGTACGGTTTTATGATTCATTCTCACTCGTGTGACGTTCAGTTGCACAGAGAGAGAAAAGTGTGTCAGTAACAGGAAAACACCTCCTAATGAGAAATAAGAGAAACCAATGGGGTTAGTGTTAGAGCAGGCCACTAGAAAAGCTTTCTGTAAAGTCAAAATCAATTGCAGACACTTGGGAAATGGCTTTAACAGAATAAGATTGATTTTTAAAATTATTTTTCATTCTTGTTTATCATGCAAGCTTATCACGTGCCTGTATCTGAAGCACCTCCTCAAGGGAGCATATCTTTGACATACAGATTCTTTTCTTATGTACAGAGTTATTTGATTATTGGCAAAAACCTTTCATACACTAACTATATGTACGAGGAGAGAGGGAGTGAAAGAGAGAAGTAAACAAAGCTTCATATTTCTGCATATATACTTCAGGAAAAAGCCACCCTCATTTTCTATAGAAAAGTGACCTGAGAACTGCAGACAGATAAATACCTCAGCAGAAATCTCAACATTGGCTACACTTCCCAGAATGTGAGGAAAAGGGGAAGGTAGTAGAGCTAAACACAATCTAGGAGAATCTAAGATGCAGAATATGCAGAAAAGAAACTAACCCACCCAAAGCAATTATCAAATTAGCTAGAGAGTCATGTTGAACCTATTTTACATAAACATATTAGGTCTATGATGATGTCTTTACCTAATGCACTGTGTTTGGTGCACCTAGAAGTTCAAATATGTATATTTTCAGAAGAAATGCAAAAAAAATCATCGCTTAAAGTCTGAAATTCTGCCAGTTCTTATAAGCAGGTCAAACCAGAGCTGTGACCCTACTGGCAGCATGCGACAGATGATGTGCCACACAAGAACAAGCAGCATGGTCTCTCTGACCCACAGCCCAGAGGTGCTGTGGGGAACTTCACAACCACCCGGGCTGGGAGCCTGACACTCACATCCAAGAGGCTGGCGGGCTCCAGGCCGTACTGCTGGCTCCTCAGCAGCAGCTGCAGCCCTTCCAAGCTCCAGTCGGCGCCCTCCAATGGGTCTGAAATATCTGCTCTGAGAAAAGACAAGGGGAAATATTGCCACGAATGAGACTTGCATAGATACATGTAGAAAGCAGGAGGACTGAGCAGCCTCCCAACATGAGGTTTATGCTTAAATCTCATTTTGAAAAATCAGGGTCCCTTTGTCAACCTGGGTTTACGCCATCTAGTTTGGTTTAATCCCAGAAGTACAACCCAGCAGAGCACACAGGGGACTGGGCTGATGGTAAAACAAGTGAGACCACTCCTCTCCTGGGTGATGCATGTGGCTTGAGGATGGATATTCTGTGCACATCTCCTCAAGACTGGGAAAATTAAAGCTTTCCTTAGAAGAAATCCTTCTAGATAGGCACTTGGAATCCAGAACAGGCTGCATTTCCATCCTCCTGGGTCCAAGATAGCTGAATTACTGTTAACTAATGGCTTTTAATGGAGTGACTTTTACCTGCAGACATTCAGCTAAAGGAGTAATTGTGTGGCCTTGACCGTCACATGCAGGATACTTGCATGTCCTGGTTTCAAAATAATGAAACCTTCATCCCTTTGTGTCAGACTTCTGCATTCAATGAGCACAGACTCCCAATTCTCCATCCCTGTGAGTGACCTCACTTGCTATTTCATCATCTTAAGGCATGACTTTATATCCTTTTATAAAGCCTTGCTTTGGACTGCCTAGCATTTTACTGAGCCCCTCCAGGCCAAGGAGAAAGGCACAGCAGTGCAGCTAAGTTTTGTGGGTTTTCGCTCTCAGTCAGAGATGGGGAAGCTGAGATCTATTTCAGCGTCAGCTCCCCAGTACCTCCCCAGAAGCATGCGGCCCACGTGATGGTGCCAAAGTGACTGGCTGCCACCTGAAGACAGATCTAGCACCAACTCAGGAAAGTCACCTTGGAAAAGTGACAGGAGGAGATGCAAAGGGACAACAGCCTAAAGAGAAAAGTCTATTTGACTTCACAGAACAGGAGGGGAAAAGAAAGGGGATAAATTATTTCCTTCTCAAGCCCAAGACTGCACCTGATAAATGCTTTGATGCCTTATCAGATATGTGCCCTACTTAGTGCAGAGGTTACGACGATGATTGATTGCCACCTTTCATCACTGTCTGTGTATTGGCACACAAGTGACACCTTATTTGCTGCACAGAAACAAATATTTCCTTATGACTTTATGTAACTGAAGACTCAGCAAAACAAATGACAGAGGGCACGCAAGCTACTGGAGGTGTAGTGTGGTCCAAGCCTCCAGGCATGGATTCTGGCCCAGGCTCCAGCTTTCGCTTGGACCTCAGGCAAACCCCTCTCACTGCAGAAAGCCTCTTCCTGCTCCCACGGCTCTGATGCACGTGTTCTGACAGCTCTTCCTCTGTTGGGTCCTTCAAGCAAGTCATCCACAGGCCCCCTACCTCTGTGAACTGTGCCCTGGGCTTCAAGGGTCCTCTAAGCAGGTGCCACAGGTACAGGATGGAGCTCACCAGGCTGCATTAGGTGACTTAAAGTCAGCCTCCCTTTCCGCCCCGCTAATGGGAAGAGAGGGCCATGAAACACACAGGGCCACAGCTCTGCCTTGCTCCCCTCACCTGTCCAGCAATGCCCTTCTGCCTCTTCTCTCAGATGGTTGTGAGGTGCCTGGTGGAGCTGCACCACAACTCCCTTTGCCTTCCAAAACAGACTGAACCATGGCGACTGGGAGCACAGGGGGCTCAGAGCAAGCCCGGCAGCCGGGCAGGGGGACATCAGGCTCAGTGGTGGCTTTCACTCCAGGGCTGACTGGCTCTTCCTTGATCAGCATGAGGCACTTCTCTCTGTAGCAGAGACAAGACTTAGCACCACACACACACACATCTGCTCCACAAAGGCTTCATGCTACTGGGAAGGGCAACAGCATGAGGCCTTGCTTCCACTTCCCATCAAAGTGCCCCACAGGGTCTTTCCATTCCCCTAGGTAGGCAAAAGAAACCAACAACCTTGTTTTCTTTTCAGCAAGCTTCAGAAACACGCTCAGCTGGAATATCTTCAGTCACTTCATCAGTCATACCTATAACGAATTTGCCTCATTCGATTGTGTTGCAAATATGGAAAATATACTTCCATGTGTTGAACCTTCCTCAGCTGAGTGTTAGGCTCAAGACAGGTTGAAGGGTCACTAGGCTAGGGAGATTCCCCTGAAAAAGTCTCCACCCTAGAGATAGGAATGGGATCAGTAAGACCTTCCCATCCAGGAGTCAGGACTGGACCAGCAAGCACTCTAGAGATCCCAGTGACATGGGTCAGGATCTTTTGGCCCTGCAGGATTTGGCACTGAAACTACCAAGATCTGACAGTCCCAGTCAGATGTTTTACTTGTTTGAAAGCAGAGGTTTGCCTTTTTCCAGTGGAAGAGGCACTCCACGTTATTCCTAGACATATGACATTGAAGCTTTGAATAGTAGCATTTTGTATCTAAAAATCTACTCTCTACTAATAGGAGATTTTACAGCTCTCTGTGAACATGCACAACTGGAGCCAAAGTGACAAAGGTATGTAGATCAAGAGGCACAGGGCATGGAAAGCCGTACTGAAAAAATATTATAACACTTACAGACTAGCTTTGCTGCAAGACAGCACACGAGCATGTCACATACGGGATGGTATGTGACACTACAAAGCCTCCCTCAGTATTCCTTTCAGATCCTATTCTCATCTCGTGAATCCTAAACTCCCACCAGAAGCTCATGTTGATTTAGGAAGTGCCCAACTCCTGAACACATTAGGGCTGTGGCTGGCCCAGATTCTTGAGTCATGCAGACATAGCATGGCTGAGAGGCCACCAGATGGCACTCAGTAATTAGTAGAAATAAGCAACTTGAAGGTTATATTAAGATTTTTCTCCTTTAGAAATGGCTTCTAGGCTGTGGGGTTTTTTTTTAACCTGGAGCTCTTTACATGCTTCTAGCTAATTTTATGGCTATGGTGTCAATTATGAGGCAGATTTACAGGCAATTTCTAGAGTCTAAGTGCCTTGCCTCTATGCCTGAGAAACTGTTTCCATGATTCATCTGTCTACTTACTTTCCACTGACATAGTTGTAGCTATTCTGCTACTAGCCCTAAATACACTGCATGTCTGTGGCAGGAAGAGATAAGCATTAAAATACATCTGCATTCAGTTCTTAAGTTACTGAGACCTTTTCACAGAAAAGTTGTCGAACATCGGAAGTTGTTGTGATGCAACCTTTCTGTTCTCATTAGCAGAAAGATGCACAGTTTGATTCTGTTTCTTCTTTGTCGAAGCCAAAAGGAAACTTCCTCTCTCTCTCTCTCTCTCTCTCTCTCAACAAACCCAACAAGCGTTAGTATCTCATTGTTTGATAAAGTCTGAGACAGCCCCTGTCTTGAGAATAATATATAAAGAAACATGGAATACTTCTCAAAGAGGTAAGTGGAAATTCTCAGCATGAAACTCGTGGCTTTGTTTTGAACATGATGCTGGTATTATTCCTCCCTAATTCCGAAAATCTGACCCACATAGCAAACTGGAAAAAAAATATTCCAGCCCACCACCTTCTCTATAGAGATTTGCCAATCAGACAGAAACTTTGGTAGAATTACAGCCAGGAAAAACTCTTTTGAAGTTATGCATGTCCATATCCAACTCTCCCTGTTCTTAATCACAAACATATTTACCTGTCATTTTCAGGAGGAGATTGTATATTTATTATGTTGGGTGGCGATGTTTCAGTAACATCAGATATAATGGGTCCCCCAGCAATTGCAGGACTGCTTAAGCAAGAGGCAGGTTCTGTCGATGGCTAAAAGAAAACCAAAAATCATACAGATTTATCCTTCTGAGGCCCAGAACAAGTCCGAGGCCCTATCTGAGACAGGGTTTATTCACTGTGCCCTTGACTCCTCCTTGTATGGAAATCAGAAAAGCTTTTACCTACTATGCAACATTATAATTTCCTCTGGTCTTTCCTCCAACCACACAGAGGTGCAGGTATAAAATAAGCACTGTGACTGAAGTGTCAGCTACTGAGAGGTTTTACCATGTCTGACATTTTGCCTAGACTGCTCAGCTTCCTCTGGAGGGAAAGATGCAGCACAGCCCAACAGGGGAGTATGGGTCTCTCATGCCAGCTCAAGTATTTTAACTGCATGACGTAAGCGTCATGTGTCTGGTGTCTGCTTTGGTGGGTTAGGGTGGTGGGGATCCCTCAGCGACTGCAAAAATCTGGCTCTGGTCAGGAAGATCATAGCACCCACTTCTAGAATACACTTCTTCCTCTCTGCCCTTGAGGTGAGCTGGGCTGGGGTAACACCACGAAGAGTTTGGTGTGTGGGGTCTGCCTTTCCCTCCCACAACCCATGGCCTCCCACAGGAACACGGCAGCACAAGCGCATGCAAGCATGCACCCCTCCCTGAAGCAGGGCAGCTGAAGAAATAATAAATGTCACTCAGCTTTGCAAACCTCTTCTCCACTGCCAAACTCTTGCCAAACTACTTACTCTTCAACCCGTATTATTGCGTCAAACATTTTTCCACCCTGGCCAAAGAAATCCCACAAAGCTCAGAGGGTGGCATAAACCTACCGACTGTATGAAATAGGGGTCATGGAGGGGCTCTGTAGACAAATGCCGGCTGAACTTGGACACTTGAGGAGCTGAGATCCCGTTGTCAAGCATCAGAGGTCTGTGAAAAGAAACACGTTTGTTTTCCCAGCACGTAGTGACTGATTCCTGGTCACTCATACAAGGAATGTCCCTCAGACAAGGGTTGTTTTCCCCTGGATACTTGGGTTTTCCTCAGCTGTAAGGTACTTTCTTGTCCAGCGTTATGGATAAGGAAGGCAAAAAACAGTTTTGGAGGAGGTCAGCATTAAAAAATTGCATTAGCCATATAGAGAAGGGATGATCTAGGTTTTCTAGATTTCATTTGAAAGATGTAAGTAAAATAACAAATTCAATTTCTATTTTGAATTGAACAAATTCAATTCATACTTTCTTCCAGTTCCTAGTGGTTTCAAGCTCTAGGCTGGATCCTCAGCTTGTTCAACTGGAGGTAGCTATGCTGAAATTATTGGTGCAATACTGGGAATCTGGCCTTGTTACCAGCTCCATTGTACTCAGGGCCTCTTTGGCAAAACCTCATCTCCGTTCACAGCACTGCATAAAAGGAGCCTATGCCACCCTCTAACTAAGTAATAAAACAGAAGGAGACACAAAGGAGAGCAGAGCCTAAATTAATTGCATACAGGCTTTTAAAAAATGACTGACAGGCTTTTACAGATCATAGAATGGTTTGGGCTGGAAGGGACATTAAACATCATCCAGACCCACCCCCCTGCCCCGGGCAGGGCCCCCTTCCCCCAGCCCAGGGTGCTCCCAGCCCCGTCCAACCTGGCCTTGAACCCTTCCAGGGAGGGGGCAGCCACAGCTGCTCTGGGCACCCTGGGCCAGCGTCTCACCACCCGCACAATAAAGAATTATCTAAATCTGCCCTCTTCCAATTTAGAACTGACAAGCGGGTCTGCGTGCTGGGTCCTGTAGCAGGAGTGCTTTGTGTTTAGCACATGATTGAAACCAAGAGAAAATTAGGAGCCTCAAAATGGCACTGCCTTTCCATCATGAAACTTGCTGGGTGGCAGTCCTTGGTTTTGTGATACAGTCCCAGAGAAGCTGGGAACTGGTATGTTTTGCTGAACATCACTGTTGTTACTGCTATGATGATCCTATAAAACTGCCCAGCAAACCCCTCTTTTCCTACTGTCCCCCAGTCAGGAAAAGCATCTTCACTGTTCATTTAAAAGACACTGATTTGACCCAGAAAAGCCAACAGTTTTTTCCACAGTAATGTCTAACAGGCTTGACAGAAGATAATTCCTAGCTCCCTTGATCCTACAGCCACTATATTATTATATGTATTAGATAGATATATAGGGTGTATATATATGTCATATATATATATAGTATTATATGTATTATATATATGTACATCCAACATTTCTTGTCAAAGTAACTTTGGTGTCTAACCCATCTAACAGCCTCCCAGGTCAGACATGCCCGTGGGACCTACAGATGTGCCCATCCTGTCCAAACCCACCCAGAGACCCCAGTCAGCATCTGGTCTGCGCCACCAGCTGCTCCAGGCTGTACGTTATGCTTTCCTGCAGTCATTTAAAGGAGAGGCAGGAAAACAAAACCGTGAAAGGTAAAACATTGGAGGTGCAAATACAGACACAAGAGCTGAGGTTCCTTGAAGACAGACCTTTGTGTTTCCAAGGAAGCAGAAACTCAAATTAACGTGCACAACACTGTGCGAACTGCAGCTGAGTTGTATCAGTGTGGTCCCTCTTCATAAGGAGGTCAATACAGTTGCTCTGCAGATAAGTTCTGTGCTCTTCTGCCCCTTTCAGCACAGTTTCTCATTAATTATTTGTTTTTTTTCAAAAAGCAGTGGTCTAAGACAACATTTCTTGGGCTGCAAAGCTTTTACAGGGAGGGCACGACCCCGACTGGAAATTAGAGATCAGATCTGGCATCTCATTTCTCTGCTTCCCCACTCCACTAGAGGAAAATTTCCCTATTCATGAACCTCAGCATCTCAGAGCAGCTGATATCCTCCCCTTGAGACCTCTTCTTTGTTACCATTCTTCTTGCAGTGTTTCTCCTTTCCAAGAGGCTCAGTAGAGGGGGTAAGCAAAGGTAAGTGTACCCAGATTGCTCGTACAGATTATGGGCTCCTTCATTTAATCCCGTGTTTCCTTTACAATCCTCACAACAAGGACACTGACTTAAAGAAGATCGACTCCCTTGAGCAGCCATTCTTGGGAAGTCTGTCTCCTTTCTCTGAGGCATGAAGAAGTTTCTGAGTTGCCAAAGGCCACAAGGTAATAAAGGTGGGAACTGGAAGCATGTCCCTGTCCTCAGCCTGAGCAATAAAGGCAAATTCCTCTTAGCAGCCCCTTTCCCCTCTTTAGATCACAAGCACCACAGAGCAAGAGATGCATGGCTGCTCTCCTGGTAGGCACTAAGCTTCTTAATTCAAGCTCCTCTATTCACTTGCCTTGAAGAGCTTATTTATGACTCTAAAGAAACCCCTTAGCTGAAATCTTTCTCCACCTTCCTCTCTGCAAGGCCTGCGGGTCACGTGCCACCAAAGCTGTGTTGGATACACACTTCATTCAGTGACTGTGGGTCAAACTGAAGGTGTCTGTGGGCTGGCTGGGCCCAGCCCTGCTCCCACGGATGACAAGTGGCAAAACTGGAACCTGTAAGACCAGCAGTGGGGTCCTGCCCTTTACCCTGCCACTAGCTAGTGTTCCCATCTCCCATCACGCTCTGTGTTCCCCAAATAAAGGTCATGAGCTGACACGGTGCTTCTCTAAAGACCACTGAATGGGGCATGTCAGCAGGTCTGACTCGGCAGTTCAGCCCATTCATTTCCCATCACCATGGTGCCCTGGTCCGGTGACCGCCTGCCTGGGCGAGCTGAGCTTGTGCTTTTAGTGAGGGGGCAGCATTATGCACCCGTGAGCGTGTGCGCACCACACAAGGGTACTTACAGCTTCCTCTTTATCCCAGTGCTGCTAGGGCTTGATTGGAGCTGGCCAAACAGAAACTGAATCAGCTGTCAGGAGAGATCAAAATCCGGTGTTAATCAGCAGAGTGATTCAGCACTCCCTGCTCTCACAGCCATTCTTATCTCACACATTTCTCCCTCCCGACACCACCCCAAAGCTGGGAGCAGCCATGAAATACGGGAGCCAAACTGCATGAGACATTGGAGCCCGAAACGGGACTAAGCTTTCCAAGAACTCAAATGACCTGCCTGGCTTTCAGGCAACACAGCCAGGTGCCTGCTTTGTGCAAAGACTGCTAGATGCATGTGCTCAGTGCTTTCTCTCTCCACTTCTGTGCATGCAGAACTCCAGCTAGCCCTCTCATACTTGGGAATCTCCCTGCAAAGTACACATGCAAACGTTCCTGGGCCCGGAGTTAGACTTGGCCTCCATAAAAGTCTTTTAGAGACCTTTATCAGAGGCTTGATAAAAGTCTGACAAAGACTTTGCAAGTGAAAGAGGCAATGCCCTAGGGGAGACCCTGGATGGAGGTCTGAGCTCTTTCAATTGAGTTTTTCAGCCCTGTGAAATTCAGTGTTGATATAACAGGCCACTAAAAAGGATGCAGAATGCCTTTGGAGAGGAATCACTTAGCAACATATTCCCAGGTCAGCTTGAACCCAATGCTCTGCTTTGACCTCCAAACAAAGAGAGCATTATTATTATTATTATTATTATTATTATTATTATTATATATCACAGCTGTCTCTTATTGCTCAGTATAACAAAATAGAGTTGCACAAATGCCTCTTTAATGAGTGGTGTGGCTGGTCCAGACTCAGAGCTGGAGGAAGATTTGATAGCCTCGTGCATTTCTATCCGGTCCTATGACTCTGTGATGCCACGTGATGGTCAGAACGTGGCTCTCAGGGGAACTGGGAAATGTGACGTGCTCAGTCACATCAGCACCATCTGGGAATCACTGCAGAGGCCTTTTCTAGCACTGGTCATGCCAGATTTCAAGGGAGATGGCTCCGCAGTGCTCCTTCAGTCTAAAAAGTTGTACAATTCCTCATCTATACCAATAACACCAGAAAAAGTAACAGTTGCCAGAGGTCCCCACTGGGGGAACGGCTAGCCAGTTCTGCTGCCTGCAGCTTTAGTGCTGGCAGGAGGGGGAGGCTCCTCTCTGGTACAGAGGAAAGATTTGGGAAGCCCAAAGGCATCGGTACAGCGACAACACAGCCAATACAGAGCAATTAGTGAGAGTTGTGCTCTCTTGCTCAGGACAACAGAAAAGTGGTTTCTAACATCACAGCAAGGACTGACAGGGAAATTAAAATCTTTTGCTCAAGGGCATAATCTATGCTTTGTTAATGACCACTTTCCATGGGACACGTAAGAGCATCACACAACTTTAAAGAGAGGGAAAATAAATACACTATGATATCAGAGTGTGGAGAAGATTATAGGACAAAGTGAAAAAAAAAAAAATCAGGGGAGGACATGCATCATGCAGTACAAGTGGAGTTTATACGACCACTACCTTGTTGATCACTTTCTGTTGCTGTGAGTGGTTCTGCCGTAGAGAAACAACTTCCCGCCAAAGAACTTCATTTTGCCTGAAAGTGAAACAGAGACTTTCCATGAACACAGAAGCATCCCAACAGCCCACTGTGCTGCCATGACACACAGTAGATCCAACTGTGCAAAGTGTGTCTCATTTTGGGGCTCTTGAAGTGCTTTGCTCTTTTCAGGTGTCCCAAACAGGGCCACACAATTGCTTCCCTTGTTTTTCCTTGACCCCAAAAGAACTACAGACCAAAGCACGGAGGAAACCCAAAGAAACAGAACCTAACATTTAGGGAGGAATGGGGGGTGGGGAGGTGTAACAAGGGGACATGCATATTTAGTTTTCATGGAACATTTGGGCCAAACTCAGAATTTCAGCAAGGCATGATTTGTGACTGGATTATTTGGATCACCCAGACTGTTCTTCCTGTGGGAGCCAAGGAAGCCCAACCTCTCCACAACTGCCCCCTCAGTGCCCCCAAAGACCAAGAGATCCTATGGATAGAGATTCTATGTATTCTGCCTTCTGACACCTTGTACGCGTGGTGGTACAAACGCATGTTTGGGAGTGACTGGAGCAGCGAAAAGGATGCTTCTGCATCTGAGAGCCATGAGCTAGGAGGATTGTAATGATTTTATTAGTGGGAGTCACTGCTTTCACCCAGCAGAGACCTGTGTCTAGCTTGCAATTGCATAAAGCATATTTATTTTCTGTCTGCAAATGCAGCACACGGGAGTTTACAGGCTTCCTTGAACAGTCAGCCCCAGGAAGTGGAATGGGGAGATGCAGAGTTTATTTACTGTGTCGCCTCCAAATCTGGATGCCAGTCAGGTCCATGCTGCAAAAGGTTTTGCCAGTGAACTTATCTCGAGAGTATATGGATGGATCAAAACTGACAGGCCAGAAAAACCCATCGTACAAGTGAACTTTATAAACCTTTTTGCCTTTTTCTAGTGTGGATTGATCCTAGAACTAGGAAGATAAGGTCCAGAGCTCGAAAGAGCACCACAGGAGCTTGTACGGCAACAATCTCTGCAGTGAACTTTCTGTGCTGGTACTGACAGGCTTTTCAGCAAAGCATCTTTCCTTAGTCTGACAGCTTCTACTGGAGTTATGGCCTAATGGTCCTTCAGTGGTGTAAATTTCTGAACAGGGTTTCAGCCTGGGATTTCTGGTCTGTCCTAGGTTATAAAAAATGTATTGCTTTCATCAGTTGAATGCAACTTTGCCTTTTGCCAGATGGAAGAAGGGACCAAGCAAATCAAAGGAGAGAATAAACTAAAAGCAAGGCCAAATCATCAACTCTGGAATTTATTAAAAAATAAATAAGGTACTAGCCTAGAAACACTTCCATAGCTACTGTTCCTGGATTTCAGTGTGTGGTTTAATGCATGTGCTAACTGTGGGAGTCAGTAAAAATTGAGGTAGGATAAAGATATTTATCCATTGCACATAAGGTACTGGGGGGCTGGAATGAAGTTTCACAGCACATAGTGTTCTCTCAAGGCCCAGGATGTCAGTGTCATCTGGTGATGTACGAATATCAGTTTTCATTACAAAAAAAGGGTTTGGGCTCTTTTTAATTATTCAAGTGCTTTTTAAACAAAGTTCTCTGTAAGGATTCAAATTCAGGAGGCCAATAAAAACCTCTCCAAGTACATGATTTATAAAGCCATATCTATTTACTAAATTCCCAGTGACCACATCTGACTCAAAATCCCTGAGTCTCAGACATCTGGAGGTCAGGCAGACACAGACAAGCAGCATTGCATTTGCTTGTTTTTCTCTTATACAACAATTTTGGCCAGGTCAGAAGACACAGTCTTCAGAGAGCCAGGTCCATGGACTAAACACATCTTGTGTTCTTATATATTTCAGCCCAGCCATATATTTTGGAGGTGGAAGATGACAGAGTGGTTCTTTTTTAAATTATTTTTTCAATAGCTGGAGTGGACACCACCACATTTCTGCCAAGGACTCTTCTACGTGTGAGAAAGAGTTCCGTCTTTACCATCATTTCTATCTGGAGGAAATACAGTTATCTGAGCTAAGTCCCCAGGTTATACACATATTCCTACACAGCCTCCTCTGTGCTTTCCTCATCTGTAAAGGGAAAACATAGATGAAAAGAATATGTCTACCTTTCACAAAAGACAGAGCATTAACTCCTATTTTGTAGATCATCAGGTCTGCATAGAAATCTTACATGTTATTTGCTCAACAGATCTACTCCCTGTGATTAGTCCCTGGGTCAGTACATGCTCCCTGGGAAGGACGTAGGTAAGGCTCCTCCTTTGAGACATTCCCCAAGATCAACAACTCTATAGAAGCAAATTCCCGTAAGAAGCAGCCTGAGTAGGATTCAACTCACTGCTTCATGTCCTGCACTTGACACTCCATGTTCTCCTGCTGACTTCTCAGTATCTGTACCTCGTATAGCAACCTGCTGAGGTCCTCCTGGCGCATCTTGGTCTCCTCACTTTTCACTACTGACACCTGAGGAGGAAAAATCAAAGGTGGATTTTACCAACGCAAGAATGGCCATGGCCAGACAGAGTCATTGCTGTGGGTCGGGTACAGGACTTCCACCAGCCAGTCTGAAATACTGAAATGTGCTGAAATACCAGGACAGGCAACATGTACAAGAGTCTGAACTATACTTAGGGTATTATTGTAAGGGCCAAAGGGACAAAATAGAGCAAAGAGCAGGACAAATCCTTTTGTACAGAGGGTCTGTTGTCAGCAGAACATTCCCCACCAGAATGGGGACTTATTTCAAAGCAGCTTGGGTAGGAAAAAAAGGAAAAAAAAGGAAGAAAGGAAGAAAGGAAGGAAAAAAAGGAAAAAAGGAAGAAAGGAAGAAAGAAGGAAAGAAAGAAGGAAAGAAACAAAGAAAAAAAAAAAGGTATTTTGAGGGTTAGGGAAGAATTGAACTTGGTTGTTTAATTAAATCTTTCTACTTTAACTACAGAGAAACCAAATCCAGTTTTGTGTTTTACAGGGATTAGCCTGAGGTAATGTTTCAAATTGACATATTACACTTGAATTTTCAGAAGACTTTTGCTGAAGTCCCTTTTCTGAATTTGCTACACTAATACAGTAAGAGAAGAGCCTTTCTGGGGCATCAATAACAGGTTAAAAGACAGCAAACAGAGGGCAGGAGTAAGTTATTTCTTCTATCATAACAGGAGATGGCTGGTGGGAGACCTTGCAGGAGTTATTTTGTACTTATCCAGAAAAGCAGGTAACAACCCAAAAGCTGAGTGGTGGGAAGCAAGCCTGGCCGTGCAGCACTACACGAAGGTCTCGTGAAACTGAGCGATGGAGCAAGAAAACACAGACAAAACTCTGATGAAAGCCAAGCCCTGCACCCTGAGGACCCCTGCCCCAGCCATACAAATATATGGAGAGGACAGAAAACAGACCACAGGGTGATCTTGGAGTTATGCTGAGCGGTCTATAGCATGGGGGCCTGTGGGCTGAAAGCAAACAAGCATTGGGGGAGTTATCAAGAGAGGAATGCAGCTGTGGTGGAAACCCTCACAATGACCACGGAGTGCTGTTCTGGTCAATACAACCCAAAAAAGGGACGTGGGAGGGTTAGAAGGACCCAGGGCAGTGAGTCATGACAGCAGGTACAGGGAGCTCCTGCGCAGGGAGAAACGAGGCATTTCCCACTCGAGGCGCATGAGGGACGGAAAACAAGTATTCACTCCTTCTCTCCAAGCAAAAGGCCCAGAGGAAACAAATTAAATAAAGAGACAACAGGCTTAAAACAATCCAAGGGATCTACGTCTCCACACATAACATTAGTTAAGTTGTGGGGCATATGGCTGAGGGAGGCTTTGAAAAAGCACCACGCAGCCTCTCCACCGCAGTGGTGTGGAACCTTCTGGAACAGGCGCCTGCCGCGCCTCCGCCTTCCCGCCTCGAAGGGGCTCTCCGGGGGGGCCCGCCGAGGCCCGGCTGTGTGTCCCCCCGCCCGGCACCCCCTCACCTTCCTCCTGATGTGCTCCAGGAGGTGCTCGTGGCCCTGCAGGAAGCAGAGGTGCTGGAACTCGGTGTCGTCCCGCTCGGGCTTGACGAGCCCCCCCTGCTCGATGTTCACCACCTTCCTGAAGCCGTCTGCGTGGAGAGGGTGCAGGTGAAGGGCTGGCAGGCCCAGGCCCTCCTCCTTTCCTCCCACCCCGCCATTTCTGAGGACATTTCTTTTCACTCCCCGCCACTTTTTGAGCTGTTCTGGTGCTCAAGGCACAGCCGTGCCGCCTCCCCACAGCTGGGTATGCTTTTGGGCCCTATCTACAAAAAATCCAGTGCAAGGGAGGGGGAACCCCGTGTACCCCGCTGGACATCCTGCAGCTCTGAGGACACGCTGCCGCTGGCCGACACCATGAAAGCCTCGCCGGCAATCCCTTGGGCATGTCAGTCTGTCTGCCAGGAGTGGAGATGCCTGTCCTTACAAAATCTCTAGTTTGATTTGCAAGCCAAAAGGGATTCTGGGGATGGTGGTTTTTCAAAGCTGTAGACAAGCATCAGGTGCCACTTTTGGAAAACAAGGTCACATGCACCTTTAGAAATCTACTTTGGGCACTTCTCTGAAGTCCTAGAAAGGTTTCTAAACATATCTAAAGACCGGCCTAAAAATTACAGTAGGGCCACTGTATAGTTAAACAGCAAAATTAAAACTCTACTGAGGAACTTTGTGAGCTAGTCACTGAACACCTTCCAAAAACTATCAGAAAAGAACCATATTTAACACAGTCATGGTCTAGATGTGGCTGAAAATGACACCTAAACCTCCATTAAGGGGTGAAAATGTCTGATCAGCAAGGCAGGGAGAAGTACTGTCCATAATTAGTTCAGCAATAGTTCAGCTGGGAAAATGGATAAGCTCTGGACATGCTACCTTCAAAAGAAGCAGTTTCTGTGGAAGGTGTCACAGTATCAGTCTGCTGGAAAAAGCCCCATATATAATAAAATGGAAAAGAAATAATAATAGGTCATCAAATTGATGTAAGAGAAGCAGAAAAACTGGTAGCTGAAATTTCTTAGCTCACATCTTATGATTTAATTCAACAGAAATTCCGTGCTGGAATCTAAGGTCAATACAAGGAAATCATCCCCACAGCATCTCAGAGGCAGGTCCTCTTTGGCAAAATCAGTAGTGCCACAATAAAGTGTATACTTGAGAGCTCAACTTTTCTAGCCATGGTTGCTTTCATGCCTCCTGTCCCACCCCCACTTTCTGTCACTCCCCCACTGTCTGTAGGTCCCACAAAGCCTGGGCTCCGGAGGTTGAACTTACACATGTTCAGCTGCCGGACGAAGCTGGCCATGTTGTTGTGTTTGAAATACTTAGGCAGCACCTCTTTGGCAAAGCGTCCTTGGTCGAACACATGGAAACTGGTGCCATTCTGCAGAGGAAACAAGGACAAAGGCAAAGTCAGAGAGGCATCCCTGACCATGAGAGGTGCCCAGGGGGAGATGATCTCCTCAAGTCCTACAGTGAGAGAAGTCATGCTCTCTGAATTGTGACCTTGAAGCTGAGAAGAGTGGCAACAGCCTTCAATGACAGATGTGCTCCTTTCAGTTCTGGTACAGTCAGTCCTCTATGACCAGTTTTGATCTTTTTCTACTAACCTTTGCTACCACTTAATTCAGAGCCTTGGAGGTGAGAGAGAAGCTACAGACTTTTACACACAATAGCTGATAGCTTTGTGATCATCCACCCTTGCGTGGATCTCACAGAAAGACTCTGGTGTCTGAAGAAGGTCCCGGAAAGTGGGAACTGCCATTATAACCCCTTGACCTTCTTGTATAGGTCTAACTCTGACCCATCTGCGCCAGAGCACAGAAGTCCTGGAGGGAGCACTGCCTGGAGACATGCTACAAGAAACACAGCAAGGCAAGAAAGTAAATCATCCCTGGAGACACTACACTGATCCAGAAGCTCTACGCACTTCTCCTGACTAGTTTTGATATTACACAGCCACAAAGGCAACCGCAAAATGTTAACAGTCATGCTTTACCGTCCAAACTAGCAACATGCATGTTAACCAGATAAAATATCCGTTCCTGAGGTTGCATTGCCAGGATCCGTGACTGCAAAACAAGGCAAACTGCCTGGGATTGCTGGCAGAGACTGACACACTGCAGCCATGTGCTTCCCCTGCCTGGCCTTCTACCTGCTGGCAGTTAAGCTGTTGCAGAGAGAGCTTGTAAGACACATTGCACTGCAGCTGCCTTGAAACTTTTTGCAAACAGCAATCCACATGATCTTTTTAAGGGACAGAAAAAAATAGCAATTAATTTTCATCTGTAGCTAACACTTAGAAACAACATTTTCTAAATCTCTGACCTCAACAGATCAGTGTCTCCAGGATATGGTGGATGGCAGACCATCTCAAATCTTATCTCTGCTCCAGATGGCAGGGGCAGTACTGAGAATTTGGAGGAATGAAGAATCACAATTTCACATGGGAGTTTGGGGCACACATGGCATTTTTGTAAACTTGAAGAGAATGGTATCGTCCAGAGGCTTACATTGGCTTTGCTTGTGGAGAGAGAAAGAGCTGCAAAGACCTACCTGGGGAACCACCCAACTGTGCAGCCTAAGCTCTCCACAGCTTTATGGGAGGACAGGCAAGATGCAGAGACCTATGCCAGTGCAAAGACATCAGCAGATATTAGGGACTTAGCAACCCAGCTGCAGATGAGTTTGGAGAGACAGGTAGCTAAAGACACCAGCGCCTGTACGATTTTGGCAGGGATGGGTCTGAGACCAGCACGGCCACAGTCATCCTCTTGCTGTGTTCAGCGTTATTACCAGCAGTCCAGTGGTGTGTCAGCTTGGGGGGTAATCGCACAGCGGAGTGGGTTCTGACAGAGGAGGACAGCGTTTCGTAAGGGTGAGCACCCAGGCCCTGCATGCAGGAGGAGTGTACCAGCAGCGTGTGGGTCCCACCATGCACCCATCACAGGGTCCACAGCTGTATGGGTGCTCTCAGGGCTGCCTGGATGTTTCTAAAACAGGGAGCATAATCAGGACCACGAGAAAGTTCAGCAACTGAAGAGGTGCCACTGTGTGCCTGTAGCCTTCCCACAGCCACTGCAGAACGGCCAGCTGGCAAACCCTGCTGCCTTACTCATTGCCACTACGTTTCCAACACCAAATGGTGCCAATTCCCTCTGTGCCCTGGCTCGTCTGTCAACACCCCTGCACGCCCACAAACAAAAGACTCTGGGTCAGCTTACTTCTTGCTCCATGTTCACTGCTGCAAATACTTGAATGTGACTGTTTGCCTTGACAGTGTCCTTTGACCATCACCAGGGTCTTTCCTATCATTCTTTACCCCATGCAACAGAAGCAAAGGCTGGCCAAGTGGTTAAGAGATTCACTAGTAATCTGTAGGCTGAGATTATCCCCAGGGGCTGAGTTTGCAAACATGGCAGCAGGGACCAGAGTTTCCCAACACTGCAAAGGCTGTTCTGGGGAGAGAGCTGGTTTCTCCTACCTCCCTTGTGCTTCTGCCCACTCACTATCTCTGGGATACACCAGTGTGTCCCAGGCTGGGCAGGATGATGTAAAATAAGAAATGGGAGGGGTTTGTGAACCTGAACACCTTCTTATGGCCTCCCTTGAGAGGTCGTTCCTTTGAATTCAGGGCTGCAATGTTCTCAGAAGCTGGTGAACCCAGAAGGGTTCCTACAGACACAAGAGACTTTGGAGTTACTGTGTGCTCATGGATGAAACATGCATGTGCCAGCTTGTTCCCACACAGCAGCTCTGCCTCACTCTACATCATGGGAGCACAAGCTGGGAGACACCTTCTCTGCCCAAGGCAAAATTCAACCTGCAGCATATCAGTTTTAGCAGATGCTTATCTTAACTGGTTTTGACAGATCCATGATGACAGACACCCTGTGCCCTGCCCAGGCAAGCTACTCCAGAAGTTTGCTACGAGTTCCTCCTAACTGCATTTTCCATTTCAGAAATTCATTTAATTACTTCTTGACCAATCTACCATGGACACATACAGCAGACTTTTCCTTTCCATCTTACAACAGCCTTCAGTGTGTATAGAAACCATTACCATGTTTCCTGTCATCCTCTTCTCCTTCATGTTAACAAACAGTTCACAGGTCCTTATAGGTCCTATTTTCTAAGAGTTCTGATTACATCCAGAAATCTTAGGCATGCACACAATTTCTCAGCTTCAACAACACTGATGGATAGAAGAGGAAGAACATGGGAAACATGGGAACATGCAACATGAGAAACTTAAACATCTAAAGGCCTTAAGAAAACCTCTCAAGAATGTAGCTGTAGCCTATGTTAGGTTGCAAGAAAGCAGAGCATTCAGGTGGTGGTGGTGGGCAGTCAAAAATAACAGTAAGTGTAACAGAGAGGGGACTATTAATATATGTTAGAGAATCCTTCCTAGCTTGAAAGTCCTTATTTAAAATGGGCGATACCAAAACTTGGTGGTTCTCAAAGGTATGGCCACGTAATACCACCATCAGAAAGCAACCATTGCCTTGGCTAACAATGCAGCTCAAATCCTATCTCAAGTTTTGAATAAAAACTCTACTGGACACAAACACATGACAGAAAGGCTGCTTCAGACCTTTTTCCCTTTAAATCTGCTCTTGTTATAGATTCCTGATTTTGGAGAGCAAAGTTTATGCACACAGCTTATCTGATAACTCCCTGTTGAAGACAAATCACATTGTTTGCAGCAAGTCTTAGTTAGGTCAAAAGCACAATGTAGTATCAAAATGCTATATGGGGGGACAAATAAACCTTTTTCATTCTCTGATTTCACTTGGTATATTAATGCCTCAGTGATAAATAAGAAGCTGAAGCAAAACAATCTATCCCTATGCGGCTGTACGGACAATACACACATACATCATGATGATCATCACAGACTTGTTGAAAAAATCAAGTAAAGCTCTTCCAAAATGTGAGTGATTTAGGGTGCCAGACCTAGATTTGTTTAAACTACAGGTTTTAGTGTGAGGTCTGAATGCTGTTTATCTGCTGCCTTCTCCCAAGGCATTTGTGAAAGGCTGATAAGAAAGACATCTGAAATAATACAAACAGCAGTGGAATGTTTTAAGGGCTTTGCACCTTTTCTAGAAAATTTTAGGGAACCGCAGATCGAAGCAAGGTGAAAAACCTCTCTCTTAAAGAGTCTAGATTTTTACAAGATTCAGTGTGAGACACCCTTTAAGATGCTTCAAGTGTAAATATTATTAAAACACTCCCCCAAAAAAGTTGTCCCTTTGAAACAGAAAAGCCACAATATTACAGATAAATATTCCCTAACGAGCTATCATTCCTTTCACTCTCCCAGTTAGCTGGCCAACACCTGTAAAGCAATGGGAAGTTGCTGTGCAATGCAGTACTTAGGCCTTGCACCTGGGTTTTTCCAGGTGTTGCAGGCACTCAGCGACACCCGATATTCGCTGTACTTACAGTACTCCAGCAGATGAGATGGTTCGTTTCAGGATCTTCCACCAGCGTCCAGAGTTTGGTTAGGAAAGCTGGCACATTGCTGGAGTATCCATCCATCACCAGAGAGCTGGGTGAATCCTGCATAGTTTTTCAGTGCCCCAGCTACACTAACCCCATTGCTCTCAGCGTGCCTGCCTCCCTGCACGCGCCTGCACCCGACAGAGAATGAACCACTGAATTTTATCCCAGGCCAGTGGAAAGTAGGCTCCCAGGGAGTCACATCAGCAGTGCTGCTCGCACTCTTAAAAACTCAGCACAATACGATGGCATCACCAGCCCCAGAGAACAATACACAGAATGAAAATGCACTGCAGCCGATCTCACAGAGCCATGAATAAATACGCAGTGTCATGCAAAGGGAACACGTGCTGAGCACCTTATGCTGGGAGGTTAGCAAGTCACTGCCGTGAGCCCACCTGCCGAGAGCCTGTGGCACAGCAGTGCCACGTTTGTGGAGGCACCTGAATTGTTATTTTGGAATTTTCTTGTCCTAAGTGTTGGCTGGCACAGGTGAACAACGGCTGGCCAGATCTCAGGGCAGCACATCTTTGGCAAGGTTTTCAAAAGTCAAAATTGTAAGCTGGTTTGGCTACAGAGCCCATGTTATTTGTCAAGAGAAATGATTTGGCTCTTGGAAGAGAAGAGAGGGTGATAAAAACAGCTATACACTGAATCTAGATTACAATATGCTTTATTATTAACATTTAGATATCTCCGAATAGGTGTTCAAAGCGTAGCTTTATGTCAGGATCGTTTCAACTCAGAAACTGCTCTTCAAATAAGGTTCACCAAAACCTTTGGTACAGCAGACCAACACACACATATCGTAATTCAGATGCAAGATAACTTGCATCTGAATGCAGATACCAGATGCAAAAACTGTCAACACTCTTGATTCTCCCAAGGAACACTAACAATGTAATAAAGCAAAGGTCTTTGCAAAAGGCATTCAAATTACATCCTGGAAATCTGCATTCCTGAGCAAAAGAAAGACAAGATGGACAAGAGAATTCGCAGGCCATATGTCTTTTATTACTGCCTTGTGAATGATTTTCCTTAAGTGCTTTTTCTCCTGCTTGTATTTCCTAACATAATTCAGCTCCTGTTATATCACTCCAAGCTGGAAATTACCTGTCAACTGGATAATGGGTGAGCTCACCCTCAATGAAATGCCAAAAGAGGAATTATCAAGGTTAGAGTAGATTTTCCATCAGATGACCACTGTTTGTTGCCATAGCTCACTGAATCTGCATGGTACCCCACTGGGCAGAAAATGGCTGCACTGAAGCTACCACTTCCTTAGCTATTTTAGTTGTTGCTGGGCACCTGACACAATGTGGTTGACTTTGAGATTCTTTTAAAATGTAAAATCAAAATCAAATTGCGCTGAAGTCCTCAGGAAAAACCTGCGAAGGGTAAACTTGACATTCCTGCTAAATAATGAAGCAGAGGAGAAAGAGACCCACCCTACATACCCACGTAAGGAAGAAAAAAAAAAAAAAAAAAAAAAAGGAAAAGGGACAGGGTGGTGCAATTCTATTTCTCTGTATACCCTTTCTCTATCACATTTGAGTGCAAATGCTTGGTCTGCAGAACAGGTGTGCATCGTATGTAACAGCCAGTGCTGGTGAAACAGAGTATTCTCAGTGAGTGCAGAAGGCATTTTGCAGCATTTTCCTTATAGCCCTAAATCTTCTTTCCCCGTCCTCTTGCAGATCCCTACGATTCCCTGGAAATCTGTAGGAGCTAGTCACTGAACTGTTACTGGTTTCCAGGGGTGCCGTTCCTTGGTGACCTTCAGAGTGTATTGTTTCAGAGCAGGGCAGTGCGTGAGGAACGCTTCTACCACCTCCTGGCTGACCACACAGTAGCAGTGGATCTCCAACAGGTTTCTGCACTGCTTAGCCAGATCTACTAGCGAGGAATTTAAGTCCTCTGAGGACGTGGTCTGCAGCATCAGCTTCTTTAAAGTACTGCTGTAGCTCTGGGTGACAAACCTAATCTGATTTACCATGTAATTATAGGTGTTAAGTTGCAGTGTTCTCATTGGTATATTCAGCTTTAGGATCCGTGGTATTTTGCAGGCAGGGACGGTATGATCAAACTCTAGGTCTACACAGAGTTGAGGATGCTTTTGACTTACAGCAGCCCAGAGCTCTTCTGAGATCACGGGTATATATTTGTCCAGACGCTCACAGAAAATGTCTAAATGGGTGAAAGCTGCTCTTTCGGGCGTGAGCAGTTCCTGAAATACAACGTCAGACAAACTGGCATAGTAAACCCCCAAGGCTGAGAGTTTGGGACATTCTTGGAGAACTCTTCTAATGGTGCTTGGTGCCACGTTGCATACCAGGGTGCGGTTGTTGATAAATAAACTGTGCAAGTTTGGGTTGGTGGTAGCTAAGAGTTCAACAAGCTCATCATCGAGAGTGAAGGGCATTTTTCGAAAATCAATATGCTGAAGATCAATCCGGTTTTTAGTGCCACATATATTCCGTATGCCCTGTAGGATGTCCTGGCCAGAGTAGAAATAGGGGTTCTCCCCGTGGCACACAATGCACAGCTGCTGCAGTTTGTGGTTCTGTTTTGCCAACACATCCAAGATGCGTGTCACATTCTTCCGATTGACCTCCTTGGACTGGTCAAACACAATCTTCAGGTGTTTGATTTGGCCAAGGAACTGAAGCAGGCTCTGCAGCATGCCTTCCTCATCCTCTGAATCACAGCTGGAAGGGTAAAACAAACTTTTAGTCACTGTGAGCACTGAGCTGAGCATGCACAGGGCAATTACTCTCCTTTACTACTGTTTCTGCAAACAGCAACAGATTCCCCAGACGTTTCTTCTCACTTGATGCCTGGACAGTCACAGTAAGGCCAAACACTGAAGGAGTCAGGAGATGAGAAGAGTCAGTTCCCAGAAAGTCCCATCAGAGAAGTGTCACGATGAAGCTGACTAGTTAGTAACTGTGTTGTGACATTTTCAAATGGCAACTTAGAGCAAGGTACTAAGACTGTAATACTTCCTGTAAAACCCAAATCATCATCATCAATTAAAAAACCCCAGCACATAACACAATTTCCTCTATTATATAAAAAGGTGCTAGTCATGTAAGATACTATCATCACACACAGAAATCACAATTAATGTCAGTAATGTCACAGTAGAGTGGTGTGTTTGACAGACACTGAAAACAAAATGATCTAGTTATGCCTGCTGAGATAATCGGACATTAGAAACCCACCCCTCTTACCTGATCTCTGTGAAATGCCAAACAGAGTTAGAAGAAACAGCTGTAGCCCACTGCCTGCATACCTGGAAGACCATGTATCTATCTCGAAGAGAAAGATAATAGAAAATTTGGATGAGGATTTCTTCTGGGATGTAGTTCCACAGTTCTGGAACTGGTGCAGGCATTTTGCTGTTTCAGTCAGGTTTAAAAATGAGAAAAACTTCCAAAACCGCAGTTAATTCTCAAAAGTCCCTGTTCAGGAAAAAGAATAATAAAAAAAAAAAAAAAAAAGTCACACATACATTATGAGTTATTTAGCAATCAAACCAATGCAACTGGATCATAGAGGAAGTAAAAAATTTTTTTAAAGCTTGAAATTTCACCACATTTTGAAATTGAACACAAAAACGATGAAGACCTGCTGGGCAGTTGTTTTGCACATTTTTTTTCAATCAATCCTAAGAAGCTGGGTGATACTTTTCAAAAGTTAAAGATGTCAGATAAAAGCTTTGGGGAAAAAAAGTGTCTTTTTTCCTGCAGTGAGGTTTTGCTACTCTGAGTAATAAAAATGCAAGGAAATTTTCTAGTACTGTTGCACTGGTATTCAAAAAGCTGAGACAGATTTCTCAAACTGTGGGGAAAAAAAAAAAAACAAACCAACAACAACAACAAAAAAAACAAAACAAAACAAAACAAAAAACACAACAAAAAAACAACCAAACTTTTTGCAAGCAGAAGCTCTGGACAGAAAACAGCCCCATATATCCATTTTTTCAAAGATAGTGAAACAGAAGGCCTATACTAGAATCTGGTACCTTAACTACAGTGGTTCTTACCTGTGATGAGATGTGACAGCTTGAAAAAAAATGTTTTATTACCATGACTCCAGTTCTCAGAAACTGCATTTATACATATTTGACTTAGAAATGGAAAAGCGTATTTTGGTTAGTGCTTTATGTCAACTATAATGCAAAAGAATAAACGCCTCTGAAGAAGGCTGAGGTTCGTAGCACCAGCCCATTCCCTAACTTTTTCATTCATCATCTTCCAAAATGTGTTTTAACCATCTTCTAGCTTTCTGCACAAATAAAACTACCAACATGACATATTTTTTCAACCCTCTCGTAAACAGGAGATGGGATTTTTAAATGCAAATGTTCCCCTTCCTAGGCTAGCACTAGAGCATGGGCCAAGTCTCACAACCCCACTCAGAATTCCATGGCATGCCCTCTTGCTTTTGAAGCCCCAGGTCCTGCAATCACAGCATTATCTCAGCATCTCAGGTCTCATTTCAAAGAAAACCCGTGCTTCTAGATCTCCTCGAAGTAGGGAACAAGTTGAAAAACATGAAGCAAGTATGGAGTAGCGATGTGAAAGGCATTAAGGCAGAGAGGAACACAATTGCACATTTTTCTAGAATACGCTGCTTTCAAGTGTGACTCATTATTTTGAGTTCGAGGTGGCAGTAGCATAGCAGCTATACTATCTTATCTACCATCTTAATCGCTGACAACCCCCTTTCCACCCACTGCTGATCTAGAAGAGCCAAGCAGTGCAGTCCTGCTTCCTTCCTGGGAACTCACAGTCCTTTGTCATTTTCTCTGGCAATCACCTTGACAGCTCAGACCCGGCTTTTCTACTTTTAGCTGCTTTTAATACCGTCTCTAATACATGTTTGCCCAAGCGCTTAACTGCTCTTTGCCCTACGTGAATTCTCACACGTTCTGCTCTGCTCATTTTTGTGATGATATTCTCCCTTGAAGCCGTGTAAAAAGAACCTTGAATCTTTTAGAAAGTAAGAGTGCACTCCTAGCCGCTCGGAAAAGCTTACAAAGACGGCCTGAGAGCAGGAAGGCGGGCAGAAAGGCAACGTTACTAGCAGGAACCGAACGGCTCTGAGTCAGCACGGCCCTCGGGCCCACCAGCCGGGCTGGGAGCGGCTCCGCGGGCCGCCAGGGATCCCCGGGCTTTCGTAACCCCCGCGGCCGAGGGCCGGGGCCGGCTGCCCGCCGGGCAGGGGCGGCCCGCAGGCCCGGAGCAGGCCGCCCCTCGCCCTCCCCGCACCCCGCCGGGCCGCGGCGCCCCGTACCTCAGGGAGCCGAGCCCGCCTGTCGCCGCGCTCCCCGCACCGGCTGCGCGCCGGAGGGAGGAGCGGGGGAGGAGATGCCGAAAATAGCAGCGGGGAGGGAGAGAGAGAGAGAGAGGAGAGACGCCTTCCCTGCCCGGGTGGGAAACGACAGGGCGAAGCTCCCAACCACTTCGGTTTTGCCACGCAGGATGCTCCCTGAGAGCACGCACGCAGCAAGGGACACTCAGGTCTCAGCTACCCTCTCCTTTTTTACCCCCTCAGATGTACAAAGAACAGATTAGCTTCAAGGAGGAAACGTTTATGGGACACAGGTGGGTGATGCCTCTACAGCAACCCACCCCCTGGCTCCGGGAGCCAGCCCTGCTTCAGGTTTGTTTTTCCGAGGGGAAGGTTGGGATGTTTGGGCTCATTTAACCCCATTATCCCTTAAATGCATTAACTCTGGAGTCGCTTCTTAAACTGTCAGCAAGTAAATGCCTGGTTTCCAGAAGTATGCTGGTACCACCAGGCTTGCTGACCCTGAAGGGGACTGGGGGTGCTGCCCTGACCCTGTAACCCTGAGCACTCAGGGGAGCCATCCTGGATTAACCCCTTCAGGGCTTTACTTCAATTACATTTTTCCTTTGTCAAACAAATTATATTATTAAAATACCATTGCTGTAAAATGGCATTAAATATATACATATTTCAATATATATGTATATATTAAAAATCTTTTATAACGCTTTCCACTTTTGCTTGAAGTTCAGTTCCCCAGAGAGTTTGCACAAACCAACTGCCCAGCCAAAATTACAGCAGCTAGCACACGGGCACAAAGCCTGGCCCTGGGCCTACACCAGATTCTTGCCAGCTGGGACAAACAAGGGAGCTGCTGTTACCCCTCTGCTTGCGGGAGGGCATCTGTGCAAGACAAATGCAGCCTGGGCAGGAGACTGCTTCCCAAGGGTGACCCAAGTCCAGATCCTTGCTTTGCTTGCCAGAGAACCTCTCCCGCACTCAGGAAAAGCTGCTTTACTCTCTCTACCTGTCTGTTCAGTTCGTCAGTGGAGTTAACAGCCTCACCTGGCTCAGAAAGAGGTAGGAGATCATTCAGGTATCACTGCAGGTAGGACTAAACCAGAAACCAGCAGAATTCAGCAGCTATACTGACACCATCATCTTCCCCCTCGGGCAGGAGATGCAAGGACCAGCCCAGGTATTCCTACCTGCCTGCAGAGCTCAGCATCGCGCTGCTCTGCGTTTGCTAAGCAGAGTCCCAGAGGTCCCCTCCATCAGCACTGCTCTCACAAATGGTGCCAGACTCCCTGCTCGTTCCTTTTGGGAGCTTTCCTCCTTCGCCCACTATGATCTTGGACAGCAGCATCCTGTCAAGCCTGCTGGATTTGCCTGGAGAAGGAAACTCCACATCATTAATCCCTCTCCCCTCCCGGGCAGGGGGACAGCCCTGGATGCTGTTACAGATGCTGCAGAGTTACTGCGTTCCTCAAGTTATCCTAGGACACCTTTTCAAAATGAGCTCCAGGGAAGGGAGGGTGTAAGAACTAAACTTCCTGGGCTGCTCAGTAATTACTACCCCAACCAGTCTTCATTTTCACGGTTCGCTCTCGTTAGCAGCGTCATGGGGGAAAGCTGATGAGTGCTGGCCGGGACCCGCCAGCCTTGTGGTGCTGTCTACCCCACTTTCCTCCATCCCTAAGGGATCAGGGGCACGCACCCAGTCCCAGCTGGTGGGCAGCTCTTAAGCTATCTGAACTGAAGAATTTCTGATCATCTTACATATCCTCACCCAGCTGAGTGACCAAGTGGCCAAAGCCGGGTGGGCACTCAGCTGCCGCCGGAGCCACCAGCCACCTCAAGGCATGGAGAGCTGGCGGCATCAAGGCCCGGCGAGCTCCTCAAGCATCAGCACCCTTCCCTTGGCAGCTTGGCCGTGCTGCCCGCTCCGGATGGCAGCAACGTGGGCTGCAGTGCTGCTTTTTTTTGGGGGGGGGGGGGGCAATGCAAGAAAAACGTTAGCTATCCACCGAAAGCGGACTACCACTTGCATTTCCATGGGGTTGGTGTTGTGTAGGTTGTTGTGGGGTTTTTTTGTTTTTTTGGGGTTTTTTTCCGCTTTTCCGTTAACCCCCGCCCGCACGCAGCGGCGGGCGGCGCCGCGCAGGGGCGGAAGCGGCGGCGCTGAGGCCGGGCGGCGGCTGGAGGTAAATCCGCCCGGAGCCGCCGGGGGGGGTGCCGGGGGGGCCGGGGAGCGGTCCGGACCCACCCACCCACCCCACGGCGGGGCCCGGGGATGGGGAGGGGGGGGGGGGGTTCACGGGACCGTCGAGCGGGCCCCGGTGTGGGACATCAGGCAGCGGGGAGGGACCGGGCTCCCGGCGCTGCCAGGGCTGGTGGGTGCCCCGGACGCGCTCTTTTGCCTTAAAATAAACACAGCCCCTTCCCAGCAAGGCTTGGAGGGGAATTAAGAAGTAGCAGCCCTGACGCGTGGCAAAGGTCGGCGAAAAAGGGAGTAACGATGGTCGTGGACGCTGCTTGCTGCCCGCGGTTGGGTTTTGTAAAGCAGCCCACAACGGGTTGACGGCCGCTGCTAAACCCGCAGCGTGGGGTTCCCACTGCCCCGCGGGGACTGGGATGGGACAGCGCTCACTGGGCTGGAAAACTCACCCGCTGGGGTAACCGCTGCAGCAGCACAACACCCAAGGGCTCCTCGCCTGAGTTTTCGCGAGCTTGGTGTAATTTCGAGGCTCGCCAGCATTGATAGGATGAACTAGGGGGTTGCTGAGGAGCAGGAGCCTGGTCTGTGTGTGTGGGGGCTGTGGGAGCAGGATGGAGCAGGGTACTTGTACTTTGTGTGCCTCTGGGCTGGTAGGGAGCTCTCAGGCAGTCACGCTGCAAAAGAGAAACTGTTTTTTGGGTTAAACCATTGAAATATTTCACGTCTGTAGTTTTCTAAGATGGTGCTCAGATTTCTGTTACCCTCCTGCAAGACACCAGGAGGTAGGTCCCCAGATCCCAACCTTCCTGGTGTTTGGGGGCTCAGACCAGACCTGGACTGCAGCAGCAGTGCATCCTCCTCTTTCTTCTTTACAAGATGCTTTTCTAAGAGGCCCCTGTGGTGTGGGAGCCCAGAGCCTGGAAACGCTCACTCCTGCATCCCACAGGCACTGCTTGAACTCCCAAGTTCAGTGTGAATTTTTTGATTTGCTGGTTATTTCCTTCATTTTCTGAACAAGTAAAAGGTGCCCGTGCTGGGCACAGTTCAAGGTTGTAGTAAGGGAACAGGGTGGGCTCCATGTTCCATGTTGGACATACTGCAAGGGCTGGAAATGGTTCCCAGCCCCAGCTACCAGCCTGTCCCCAGGAGGTCATCCTTCTGGGTCTGGAAGCCCCTGGTGACAAGAGACCTTCACATCCACGGTCTAAAGGACATCTGAAGAGAGGGACAGTGTCGAGGCCAGCAGTTATACTGTCAGGCCAGTGCCTGGCAGCCGAGGGAAAGCTGTTGGGGTTGAGCAACAGGGGAGAAAGCAGGAAGGAAGAGTTGCCCACAGGGAAGCAGCTGATGGTGTGACAGAGATGCAAACAAGTAGTCAGAGATGGGGCAGGACTTGGGACTGAGGCTGAGTCAAAAGCCCCACATGACTTATCACATTGATGTGATGGAAGGGCTGGCTCCCAGCGCTGCTCTCTGTGGGAGCAGTTTCGGGGGGCTTGTGGTGACCAGCTTGTGGACACGCTCCGTTTGTGTACACAGCAGAGAGGAGAGGTGGCCATGCCTGTCTCCCGGGCTGTCAGGCGCTCTCCAGCCACCACAGCCTCAGCCCAGCATTGCCCAATCTAGCACAGCCTTTCTGTTCTGAGTATCTGTAGCCTGGGAGGTGTTTTGGTTCATCTTTGCCTTGGGAGCAGAGCTGGGTGCTGCTGCGGTAGATGTAAGCATTGCATGAGCTGGCTGGTGAGGAACAGGCATGATGAGAACAGAGAGGGGTGTGCTGTCTTCCAAGTGCATTGCTGCAAGAGGCAAATGGTGGGAGAGGAATAATAAATGAGCTGGTACGTAAAGCAGAGGGATAGCCTTGAGTGTCCTGCTACGTGAGCCCCGGACTCTGTAACTTATCCTTTAGTGAGGACAACCAGGGGACTGGGACCTTGGCCAAAACACCTCTGCTTGCAATAGGGCTTCAGTCCTTGTGAGTGTGCCAGAACCAGGACTGCTGGGTCCTCCCTGGAGCGCCCCAAATGTGCATCTTCAGGCTTTGCCAGCTTGGTTGAGCAGTCAGAGGCACAAGGACTGACACTCTTTGCTTCAGAGCCTCTTTGGACTATAAAATGGACTCCAGTGGAAAATGAAAGCAGAGCTTTGTGAGCTGCTGACTTCTCAAAGGTTACACTTGCTTTAACATCATCACCACCACCTCTAGCAAATAAGGGTAAATCCCCATAATCCTGTCGTACTTGTGCTTAGTGTTTGCTGTAAGCACTCACCAGGCATCGGGCCATTTTCTCTACGGTCTCTCAGCTCACCTGTGTGATTTTTTAGGGTACTGAAGATGGCAGGCAGCTCTGCTCCTTGGATCGGCAGTGCTTATCTCTTCCTCCAGTCGACGTGCAAGACCATCGTTCTGCCGTCTCTCTACGAAAGCTCCCAGAAGAAACCTAGTGTGTTCAAGGCACTGAAGCTGGCATTAGCAGGTACCCATCCTCTCTGATATTTTGGCATGCTGTCTCATCTCTTCATGCAATCCTGTGCCTTTCTTTAATCTCAGCACTCATGGGTAAGGAAAGCTGGTGCCCACTGTATTTAGGAAAGACAAGAAAGTGGAGCAAGTTCCGCAGAGGTCCACCAAGGTGGTTGGGGGCTGGAGCACTTGTCCTATGAGGAGAGGCTGAGGAGTTGGACCTGTTCAGCCCGGGGAAGAGAAGGCTTTGGAGGACATACCAGTCAGTACCTACAGGGAGGGGAAGATGGAGCCACACTCTTCACAGTGGTGCATGGGGAATGAGAGGCAACGGGTACAAAATGAAAGAAGAAAGGTAGACACCATAGAGAAGGACAAACGTTTTCCCCATGAGGACAGTCAAGAAGTTGCCCAGAGCCAATGTGTGTTCTCCATCTTCAGGGATTTTCGAAACGGGACTGGATAAAGCCCTGAGCAACTTGGTCTGACCTCAGAGCTGCCCCTGTTTTGCATGGGAGGTTGGGCTAGAAACTTTCTGGGCTTCCTTCCAACTTGAACTGTCCTGTGAGTTATCCTACTTTATGAATGTTTGTTTAAACCCATTTATGTAAGAGGGGAAACGATTGCAATTGCTATGAAAGAAGATTTAATTTCTGTATTTATACCACCACAGAAGCAAGATTTCTGCTTTGAAAAGACAGTTTTTAAACTTAGCAATAGCCAGTATAAGTTCTTTTCTGGTACAAACAGACATAATTACATTAGCTTCAACTGTATGTAGCTGTATTTATATCAGAAAAGGACTTGAGATGCAAATGGCCATAAAACTATGTTTCTCTATCCAGCCCTGCACCAAGCTGACTGCAGAATAATAGTAATTTGAAGAGCTTATCATACTTACCTAGAATGACACTCATGGTGTTCTTTACCTGTTATACAACTGAGCCTATGGTGTTTAACTGGGTTTGTGTAACTGTTCTGTAATTTCTTCTGGCAACCATGAGTCTAGACAAGTCAGCTAGTTTATCCAATACAGGCCTGCTCATCCTGCAGCTCGATCTGAAGATGTGAAGCAGCAGGAAGCCCGACACAGTTGTCCAGTTAGACTTGATTTATGGCTGCTTTGTGTCACTGGAATGTGAATCTGCTCACACATTTAGAGGAAGGCCCACAAAACCGCTAAATCCTACCATGCTTATTCAGACCTAAAAAGGACATGAAATCTGAAGCCGTCTGAAGTTTTTGTGAAGGAACGCGTGCAAAGTCCTCTCTTTCGAGGTAGCTTTACAGCTGTCTTGTACACCATTCATAAAGGTTTCCATGTCTGTGCAGCTTTTCTCTCTCCAGCCCTCTTGCCCCGTTATGGAAGCTTTTGTTTAACCAGCATGCACGAAAAACAAAGCATGAAGGAAGTGATAAAAAGATGTTTCTGGTCAGCCACAGTGAATTAAAGTGCCTCTCCTAGGTGCCTAGCCCCATGTCCCAGTTATACATCTGGTCCAAACTAGACTTTCTGATGCAGCCAGGACTCAGTAAACCCTGTAAAGCCACTGTTAGATCATGTAGTTTTAAATGCCAGGTCTCTTGTCCTGCCTAATGTGGAGCACACAAGTCTGCTTTGCCTTGGGATTTTCCTCCAAGCATGTCTAAATAATGCCATGACACGTGGTTTAGAAATACCTGATGTAGTGCCAGTCTGAGCTGGCCCTTCTGTACAGCTCTGTGCAACGATTAAGAGGTTAATTTGGATCTGGAAGCAGTACAGCCAGCCTCCCACAGGCCTCTGCTTCAAAAGAGAAAAACATGTACTTTAAACGGTCATCATCATCACATAAAATCCCTGTGGAGACAAGGCCAATGTGTACAGCTAATCAGAATTAAATTTTGCTGGGAGAAGGAAGAACGAAGGCCTGACCAATTTCTGTTGTCCATGTCACTCATGCTCCCCCTGCACTAATGTTAAAGGATACATCCCTGGCTTCTCCTTGCTTGGATTTTAGCATGAATTAATTCTCTGTGCAAAAGAGCGTAACAATTCAAGGCCCAGTCTCAAGCAGCCTAAATTCCTGTGGCTAGATCTATCATTTGCCACGTGTGAGATGAGTTGAAGGCTCAGAGCCAGCCAAGAGTTACCTCTAGGCACGGGGTGAAGAGGAAACACTGGGTCTCTTTCCAGGACCTTCATCACTGCCCAAAACTCCAGTCACAAGGACTGAAGTCTGACTGAGCTGAACTGTGCGTTTTCATCTATAAAACTTTGCTGTGCTACCAGCTTGATGTAACCATTTCTGTCCTGAAAATGGAACCTCAAATGCAAAATCTCCTCTAATAAACATTTTTGAGATAATTACCTGGAGTGTAGTACCATACGGCTTCAGTTGGACACCATACTTCATGGGGACTGATGGTGGCAGGGCAGCAAAAATTTAATCCTTTCCTCTTGGTTTTACATACAGGTTTTTCGTCCCAGAGGACTTTATCCCAGAGAGAAGAGAATTCAAAGCTACTCCATTGCAGGCTTGGTGGTGGATGGGAGTGGGTTGAGTCTGGGTTGTCTGTCTCATGCCTGGATAGTGACTCTGCTCACTTCTCCCTGCCAGACTCCACCGGCAGCGTGAACGGTGTGGACATGCTCAAAGTGCACTGCAGCCACCCCCACCTGATAGTCCAGCTCAAGTTCTGCAGGCGGGAGAACTGCCGCCGGTTCCTGCAGAGTTACCGGGAAGGGGCGCTCCAGAAGTCCCTCCAGAATCACCTCCAGCTCTCCTTGGCCATGACCACAGTGCCCCTTGAAATGGAGCTGAAGGCTGGCAGCGAGCACCTCGACAATATGCTGAAGGATGAGGATCGCTGCCTGGAGTGCATCTACAGAGAGAAGGTGAATGGGGGGAGGGAGGGAGGCCAGGCAGCAATGAGGAGCAGTAGCACAGGACTCGGGAAGGTGGGTGCAGATCTTGCTCTGCTGCAGCATGCTGGGTTGTTGACTTCTCCGTCCTTCAGTTCTCAGCTGTGGTATGGAGAAACAGCTCTGCCCATACCTAGAAAAGAGCCATGCACTTTTCTGGAAGAGCAGTAAGGTTACTTAAAACAGCCTACAGAGATCCTGCTAAATCGCTGTGGTTTCTGTGTATAACAATTACTGTGGCTGTTACCACCACTATGACGAGGAATTATAGAAGGTGCAGTTGAGAGCACAAGCAAGCGTGCCTCGATGCACCTGTGAGGCAGGTGGAGAGGGCAGCAGCTCTGGGTGGAACAATTGCCGCTCAGCACCTTCCTCCCCAGCCTCACACACCACCTCCTCCGAGAGCAGCGATGGGCAACTGCACTTAGAAGAGAGCATGGATGCAAATGTTACCCCAACAACTTGTAACAGACACACAGCATCTGCTGCCAGCAGAGAAAAGCTGCCCTCCTGAAGGCAAAATCTCTCTCTCAGAGGAGATTACCTAATGTCTAGCTCATCGCACACTTTGGCACCGGCGCCCTAATCCTGCTAGCAAGAACAGTGACATCTTGTCATCTCACCACGAAACCAAGGCACTTGACATGATTAAACTCATTGCCTTTCAACTCCTTTTTTTCCACCTGGAACTAGCAATACCCTATAGCTCTGGTTCCCTTTAGATGGTCCTGAGAAATAGGTAGTCACCATCTACTTGGAAAGATAAGGTACAAGAGCATGTTTTGACAGGTTGCTTTTCTACAAGCAGAGAATGAAATGCCCTGGACCAAACAACATGTGATAGCCCATACTCTCAACTTCTGTTTGCTGCTCCCTCCCTCTGCTGAACTAGCTGACTGGACAAGGGAGATGGGCTCATTCTCAGTTCCCCAAAACTGATTCTGTCTGACCTCTACCTAGCAGTGCAGCCGTTCAAAGATGACACTGCGGCACAGCCGTCAGCGGCTGAGGGCAGCACAGGGTACCTGCTGTACCTGAGCTAAACACTAGACTGAGTCAGAGCACTTGCCAGGTTTGACGCTTCCCACGTGCTTTGCCTTCTTTACTCCTTTTCTCATTACCTGCCTTTTGGAGGTCAGACTAGTTTTCTCTTAGAAAAACTGGCTTGGAGAGGGTCCAGGAATGACAACACTTAGGTAATGGAGGGGCAGAGAGAGAGAAGGGGGGTAGCAGGAGCTGCCTGCTTTGGTGGCCATGAGCTGTTGGATCAGGTCACCCTATTCTGTGCGTCTGACCCTCACATGGAGTAAGTCCCAGAAGCCACGCTGCCTATGGTGCACCCTAATTCTTGCAGAGGGCTGCTGAAAATAAACGTGGACTAGCAGCAGTTTTGTGTAACTTGTAAGCACTCGCTGCTGCTTGTGAGTAACCCAGGAAGGGGAGATTGCCTGTTTCATATCACGTTGCAGGTACAAATTGACACATTTACAGCCAGAACTCCATTAGACTATCTCATTTGATCTGTTTACAACTCAGGCTATAGCTGTCTCATTGCTCCTCTCTTGACATGATCATCTTGAGCTGCACCTTCCAGCTAAGCATCAGCAGCTTTGCAAGATGGTGAACCTGGCAGGAATCACTGGTGCTGTTTGTGTTACAGCCTGATCGCCTGCGGGATGAGGAGATCACGGAGCTGGAGGAGTGCCTCAAGAGCCTCATCGTTCACCAGAGCATCAACAACAATATGGCTGTAAAAGACTGCGCGTCTCTCAACTCCCCATCTCTACCTTATCCTTCTCAAGGCAGCTCCCTTTCCTCTCAAGTCACCTTCATCTTTCAGGGACAAGAGTTTGGTGAGTAGCTAGAACTGACCAAGAGAGCCCTCAGTCTTCCTCGCCTCAGAGCCCAAGAGGGAGGATTAACATGACTACATATTGGGGTCTACCTCAGATAAATCAAGTATTTCCCAGCATCCCATAAGGAAGGAATTACAATAGTCCTGAGATACTGCCACACTGCTTCAGATCAGGCCTCAACCTGTTTTCTGGGGTGGCACAGAACCAGATGCTTCAAGTCTATGTCCCTTCCAGGTTCCTCACATTTTAAAACTCCTTAATACCGAAAGGAAGAATACAGAGTAGTTTGCTCTTCCTCCATGTCGTTTGGTTGTGGTGAGTTAATAGCATAGGTCGCATCAGAGTGGGAAGGTTACTACAGACACCATCAGCCCTGCTTTCAGCCAGGACTGCTTTGTCCAGGCTCCCTGCAGCACACCAGCTGTCTTTGGGGTCTGTCCCCTACAACGAACTTTGAGACAGTCTCGCACAGCGAGTTTAGCTCGAGATCAGCTAGATCATTTCTGAGCATGCTTAAGCTCTGTATACAGTCTCTAGTGCTAAACAGCCAAGGAGAGAGCTCCTGTCTGCGTTTCAGTATTTTGAGGATGCTTAGGTAGGGAAGAGGGGACTTGGTCAGAAAGGCCTTGCCGAGTTGCTTTTGAAAGGGCAGTCCCATCCTGGGGGAGAGAAGAAAGAAAAAAGGACAATAGTCATTACCAAGCTTTCAGGGTGCGGGCAAGCCCAGATACTCTGATGTTGTGGGAGGATTTTAGTAAGGGAACAGCCTGAGCAAGGCAGGGAGCTCAGATGTGCCAGGGCAGATGGCTGTGAGCAGGTAAGTGTGTCACCACGTGCTGCAGTTTGCCACTTGAGGCTCCAGCAGTGCCCTGGGGCATGGCAGACTACGTGGAGAGCAGACACATCCAGCTCACACAGAGAGAGCAGACACTAAGCAGTGAGGCTTACTCCAGCTGATTTTTCCCTTTCCAGTGGTGGAGGAATGCCGTTGGAGCACACGGACCCATGACAGGGCATTGCCTTTAGCTTCACTGCTCTTGCACTTCTGCTCCAAACTCGCAGTGCTGCCCTGCTGCTAAAACACCACAGGACAAGCAGAGAAGCTCCACAGCAGTTTAATAACGTGCTGTGGACATGGAACAGGCTCCCTGCCCCACAGAATATTGAGCAAACATTGGACGGGCCCAAACTGCATCACATCAGCCACAAAACCTTTATGTTTCATCTGCCGTTTGTCCCTTTCAGCCAACAGAACGCTCACACCGGACGACCACCAGAAATTTGCCAAGCTCGTGTCCAAGAAATGGAAACAAGTGGGTCGCTCTTTGCAGAAGAACTGCCGGGCCCTGCGTGATCCTGTCATTGATAACCTGGCCCTCGAATATGACCGAGAAGGACTATATGAACAAGCCTATCAGCTGCTTCTCAGATTTATCCAGTCAGAGGGAAAGAAGGCCACAATAGCGCGGCTGATAGCAGCCCTGGAAGAAAATGGTCTCATCAGCTTGGCTGAGGAGCTCTTGGGCCTCCATTCCAATGAGGACTGCTCCTAGAGCCTCCAGGAGAGTGGCATTGCTAAGGGCTTTCTTGCTTTAGCTAGCGTATGGGACTGCTGCCAGCATCTGGGAATGTAAAGTCCTGAAAATGACCACAGGTTTCCATGTAGGTGGGAATGCCCAGGGGAGAGGTTTTGTGCTTGCAAAAGCCAGCACGGACCTCTAACGTTCCTTATTTCATTCTGTTTCCAGAAGTCAACGTTACCTTCCCAAGAACTGGTGAGATTTCATGCTGTGGTCAGGTTTCAGCCTGACTCCCTTTGGGACTGAAATGTCACAGGGAAGCAGCCAGACAGTTGCAGAGCCCTAGGGGAGGGTGGGGGAGAGGAGAAAAGCAAGGAAGGCATCTCAGAGAATTTCTCTGGGAAGCAAACAATGACGCTGTTTCTCAGGCTGTGGCCCAGGGCCATCACCTGGAGAGCTGCAATATATTTTTTTTATATTGAAGACGTTTATGCCCTCAGGCATGATATCAAGGAAAGACAGAGGGGAAATGAAGGAAAAGTCAATTTTATATTATTTTCCTTCTTCGTTCTTCAAACGAGGAACATCTGTGGCAAGTGTATCTGTCCTGCCTTATTCTAGTACAGCTCCTTCCCACCTCTCGCCACCCGAAGGTTTTCCGTTTACCTGGGCCAGTCAAAATCTTCCACGGGGTACAAGATTGCTGCTGTAGAACAAATCCCAGGCACTGAACAAGCAATATGGACAAACATAAGTTCAGAGAATGATTCCCAACTTTTTCTGGACCGTGATGGATGAAAATATATCGACTACATCGCGCTTAGCTCTTTCCCACCAACCTGAGGGAGCCCGCATCTAAGCAAAACACAATGCTGGAAGGAAAACAGTCTCCTAGTCGGCAAGTTACCCGTGGGGCGTAGATGGGAACTGCTGCTGTAAGGTGTGTGGCAGCATGGAATACCGTCCTGACCCCAGCCCGCAGAGCTGAGCCATCGCTCTGACCGGCGGGCTGCTAGTGCCTTCCCTCGCTTCTTCACCCCCGGCCCTCGGCCTGCGGAGGTCACCGCAGAGGGCAGCTGGCGCCAGCGTGTCTCACAGGAGTCGGGATTTGCACGGAGCTTTTCCCTGGCAGCGTTGTCACTGTGTGACAGTTGGGCATCAGCCGCTGTGCCTGGATTTACCTGCCCTGATTTTGAGGGTTAAAAATGGCTTAAAGGACAAAGCAGCCACACCCCAGGGCTGAGTTGTGCTTTCAGTTCTGGTGGGAGAAGCTGGCTCTCTCCTGGTATGGTTGATGCAGACTGCAACAGAGCAGTGATTACTCCTCTGTAACAAAAAAGCAACAAGTATTTGGCATGACATGGGTCCCGTGAAGCACAACAACAGCTTGATTACCTTTGACATACTCCCTATGCTTTCCCGATATGTTTTTACTTATCCTTTTTCATTAATTGCATCCCTCTTTGCCCTTCCCATCCACGGGAATAGCCACTGGGCCTTAGAAATTATTTCAGAGGTAGAGGGTGGCTCTGCCAGCACACGTAAAGCCTGTGTGTGCACGCAAGCATTGGGCCACTGGCAGTCACGGCAGGACCAGCTCTCAGACAGGCAAGCCCTGATGGCCTTTTAAACCACAACTCACAGCTTAATCCTTCCTGGAGTCAGATCTGTAATTCAGTAAGGAGGGACACAACGTGGGGTTCAGGTGTGGGCTCCAGTCCGAGCTCCTGGGGCTGGTGCTGCTCCCTTAGCTTCTGCTAAAATGTATGCTGTGAGCATCAGGTAGCCAAAGGCCGGGATGAGGAGGATTTCGATGGCCAGCTGGGGCCCACGTGCCTCAGATGAGTTGAGCATCACTCATCTGAGTGTAAGTCTCAGCATAAGCCTGAGGAACGTGGCAATTTTTCTGCAGATTTTGAATCCTCAAGGTTACATACACAATTTGGAAAGGAAATAGAGGGGGTTAAGGGTGGGGATAATGTTTTCAGGGTGTGAGTGAATCTCTTTCCATCTTGCCCTTAGTTTCAAAGGAAGCAGGCACCATCTCTACAAAGATGTGGCTCCGTGACCTTTTATTAAGCCATTCTGCATCAGTGCTGTTACAGTCTCATCTCCCCCCTTCCTGCTCCATGTCCTACCCTCTCCCTTACAGTAGTACCAGTGCTCTTCCCAAAATGAAGCAATTATCTCTCTGACAGTTTTGCTTTGGGGACCAGCACAGCAACACTGATCTTAGTTTAGGCTGCTGTGGAGCCATACCTCAAAGCATTTACCTTTCCTGCCAGACCCCAGCTGGGGAACTCTCTCTGGCAGCAACCCACCTGGCAAATGGTATTTTTTAAAAAAGAATAAAAAGTCAGAAACTTGAAAATTACTCCAACAGCAAAAGGGTTTGCTCTTGATTTTGCAAAAATGATTTTTTAGAAAACGAGGTCATAGTATAGCCTGCTGTCTCATTGGTAATGAATATTTCTAAGCTCTCAGACTAGCTATTCATGTGCACAGCTTCCATATACAGCCACTGAGTAGTGAGAACTGCTAACTTTTATAGAATCTATTAATGCTCAAAATGAGAAGGGCTTATTATTCAGCATCTACTTCAAATCCAAAAAACTTATTTGCTGCTATTACTGTATTACAGAGGACTATGCATGAATGCTTTTTTTCTTAATGCAAACCTTGTGCATTTTATTCCTCTGCCAGAAACTGGCATATGGGTTTCCTCTTACTCACAGATTCCTTCTCAAAAGTGCCATTAAGTGCTGGAGCTCCTGGCAACCTTTCTGGAATATCATCATCTTTAACAGCATTCACAGGTGCCTTCACTGCAGAGACTCGGAGGAAAAGGGTTTTCCAGTGATATTCCATGGTGGAATTGTCTTGAGCACATGGCAGTGGCTGTTTCATACCTTCTTTTCTGTGCTCGGTCATCATCATCATTAGATGCAATGACAACTCAATTCTGGTCTCAGGCAGGCTCTTTCCTGCTAAAAGAGTAGGGTTTTTTTAGTATTATCTGGCAGAAACATAGATGGAGACAGTTTTCACAGAAGCCTTAGAATTAAATAGATCAATTGGATCATGAGTACATGATGTCATTTGCATTGATTTGGCACTTGGCTGGGGTTTGACTCTGAATTTACTTGTGTTTTACCCAGTGGATTTTACAGTGGTTTTACACCAGCGTGCAAAGACAAGGGAACTCACATCACACAGGGAAGAAAGAAGCACTCACAAAGGAAGGAACATTAGCAGAGATTTGTTGAATAAACCAGAGGCATGTCTTTGCCTTGGATGGTAACGCAGTGAGTGGAACCGAAGGAGGAGCTCGATGTTGAGGGTGCTTGCTGATACACCAGAAACTCGGTGCCGTACGCTAGACCAAGGGCTACAGTGAGCACCCCCGGTGACCGCCTGGCTGCCACGCTGTTGGAGGAGGAGCCCACTCGTGAGTTCTTCCTTGCCTGCACAAAGTTAGTTGCACACATACTGTACCTACTCAAGATGCCAGACGTGCAAGCGACACTCCCTTTCTACTATTCGTACCGATTGGCTAATGTCTAGTGTGTGAGAGAAGCCACGGGCAGTGGGGCTGCTGCTGAATTTGGCCTTAGCCCATAACAGCTCTTCTCTATGTACTGAGATATGTCTGGGGGGAAAAAAAAAAACTTTGGGGGGGTGGTGGTGTTTCAGAATCAAACATGCAGCAAACCAGCACATGATATTAAAAGCAAATAAAGATGCTAATCAGTTGCACATAAAAGAATGCAATAGACAAAGTATAAAACAAACAGCAGAAATCAGGCCAAAATGCGCTTAGAAGGAAGGGATCCAAGAGGTCTTTTTTTGTGGTACAGGTTGTTTTTGTATTTTTAGCAATGTTTCACATTTGTAGGAGGCTCCTTTCAGTCTGCCAGAAAGAATAAAAGATCCATCCAAAGGAGAATTTGAGTGATTTGTTTTGGCATAGCTGAGCTACAGTGTTCAAATGGATAGTAACAAAGAGGAGAGTGAAAGGTAAAATGCTCACCAGATACACTTGGACACGAGGCATCCGGTAGAAGTAAACCCGAGAGTATTCCCTGATATAAAATTGTCACAAAGGAAAAATAGTAAACTGTCCTGGAGGGCAGAGTCAGTGAAAGGCCGACATTAACCCTCTTAGATGTTTGTTAAAAATACACCGTAGATTAATTAATCTGCTGAAGATGACCGCGCACCATCACGGCAGATAGGGAAGTTGCTCTCTTCCAGCAGCTTCAGTTCTCACATGCCACAGCTGCTTACAGTTTGCCAGCTGAAAACAGTACTTGACTCATAAGGAAAGGGTTCAGCACTACCGATCGGAAGCCCTTCAAAATCATGAGCCAGGCCTTAAGAAATCATCAAATTGTCTTCTGGATTTTCATAGCAAGTCAAATGAAAAATGAATATTGACAGCGTGCAGCAACGCTTCCCAGGTTTCCATTTTCAGCTTCAGCCCTACCGTGGAAGGGATGGACACCTGGATTATTTTTAATGCAAAATGGGGTACTAATATCACAGCACTGCAGGTTACAGAGCTTTAGGAAAAAATGAGAGCCTCCAGGTAAAACGGCTTGCTGGAATTTCATAGCTGGGAAGTGTCTGAACTGTAGCCGTTTCAAAATTTGGGGGAAGCTGAGGCAGAAAAGAGAATATACTTTGTACCACTGTCAAGATAGGGAAAGTGTAAGGCCAAAAAAAGCGTGTAGGCTTAGAGTTGAGGAAAAATACTTGTCCAGAGGAGGCATAGGTGCTTGGTGCAGACACTGCCCCAGAAAAAGGTCTTTTCCCAGTGTGAGGAAGCTGTGGGGTTTTTCCTTACCTGTTAATTTTGCCATTCATTTCAAAATCCGCTTCAGCACTGGGAAGCTGTCCTGCTGCCTGGGTCACCGTGTCGCCTCCCCTCTGCGGTTTCAAAAGGTACCTTAGGGCCACATCTGAGGCCCACACCACAGCTGCCCACAGACTCTGAAACCAAAAGTGAGCATGTACAGCGATGAGGAGCCTTGAATGCACTTAAGCTGCTGGTTAAGTGAAAATTCTGCTATAGCCATGAACCTCTATACACCTTAAACCAAGGTGATACTAGAATGGGAGGCAAGAGGGTTTCTTCAGTCTAACCCACATATTAGGGTGTGAACGTGAAATTGGTGAGATACAGGGCTTTACACCAGAGGTGGAGCTGGCCATTTGTCTTCTGTAGAGAGATGGGCTCAAACAGTGAGGCAGTTTAAGGCCTAGAGTCAAAAATTATACTCCTTTTCTTCTCTGGATTGAATTTTAAAGTCACTGGAGGGATTAGGCCATACATCTCTGATTGGAGTCTGTAGAAGATGTGTGGTTAAGTCCCTTAGTCATCAGTGGAAAAATCTCTTGCTGACCTGATTCCAAATTTCCATGATATTCAGCATCAGATGTGGATCAGCCATCTACAGCTATGGACTGCAGTGCCATGTATACTCAGGTCTAAGATGTTCAACCTCCAGTGAATTGTCTTTTATGATAAAAAGCACTTTGGTCTATTTTTTTTCTCCATTCTTTTTTATAAATAAATATATACTTTTGATGAAAAGTGCCTCAGAGACTTTCATTAAACATTGAATGCAGTAGTAAGAAGGGGGTTCACCAAAGTGTTGGCCACGTTGGCTATCACCAGCTCTCAGAGGAGCATCAAGCTGAAGTGTCTGGGTGCACAGCAGGGTCCTGCCCCACGTCACACGTTTCTACTGACACACCAAGGCTGGTGCCCCACCTGCAAGTCAGTGGCTCTGATTTCAAGTCGAAACCAAGCAAAGCCACCACACTTGTTCCATTTCCAGTTGCTGCTTTGGTGAGCCTTTTTTAGCAAACGTGGCCAGAAGGGGAGGTTTGTCCCGAGCCTGGCACCCGGCAGAACTCCCCGTGTTTCGGTGCCACTAATATCTGGGGCTCCTCCAAGGCCACAGCATCGCTGTAATCCCAAAGCGCCTCGCTGTTAGTGAGCGTTCTCCCAAGGCTGCCTGCCCCGTAGGTGGGGAGCCAAGGAGCTTGGGCATTAAATCTTCTCCAGCAGCTTTGCACAGGAAGCCACTGGCTGACCTGACAGCTGCCCCCCGGGGAAATTCCTATTGCCATGAACTCCGAGCAGAGCATTACTTCACCCTGAATCACTTAAATCTCAGACAGTGCTCGGAAAAAAGCACAAGATCAGCCCTTCTTTATTTACCACAAAGCTGTATTCCCAACCGCACGGCTCAAGGCCTGCAGGAGTACAGCGACGGGGCGCAGGGCTCAGCGGGTGGAAGGACGGTCGGCCCGTGGCCAAGTTTGAGCCGTGTGCCATCACACTAACCCGGGGCCAACGGGGTTGACCTACTGGTGAGGGTCGGTGAGACCACCGGCCCAATCTTGCGAGACTGAGCAACGTGCCACGGGACAGACCGAGGGCACCTTTGCTGGCGGTGAGAAGAATGAATCAGCCGTGCGTCGGCGCCCAGGGAGCCAGGTACAGGTGAGACGGTGAGACAGCCACCGAGCTGGAGCACCCACGGGGGAACTCCTCCATCTCCCAAGCTCCCTGCGTGACTCTCCAAGCCGCCGCAGCCACGGAGGCACCGCGGCCTCTGTTTTCACTGTCACCCCGTGGGAGCAAGCAAAAAGGGGAGTAGGTCCCAAAACCTGGGAGGGGCGGGAGGAACACGGTGGAAATACCTGCTGTGAGTCCACAGTGGTTTCGGGGAGCTGACCCCCTCACTCCACAGCCCCCCCCCCCTCCCCGAGCAGAGGTGGGCACACACCGGGCTGCTGTTCGCCTCTGAGACCATCACCTGCCTCCTTACAGAGGAGAGATGAAAAATAGCCTGGGAGAAAAAAGATGAAGTTTCCCTGTGCCAACACAAGGTAAGCGCAACACTGAGGAACATTTACGGCCGAGGTTTCCAATCAGCAAGGAACTGCTGTGTTTCAGAGTTGCAGATCATGAGGAAAAGGCTTTCCCAGCCTGGAGCACCTGAACGCAGGGCCTGAGGGTTGTTCATCAGGAACGCACCCACGAGACAGCTTTTCATGGTGACATTGTTCAATAAAGCGAAAAGGTTGAGCTGAAATTAAAAATACAACAAAAAAGCACAGACAGTTGTAAAAAAGCATTTTTACATTATGTTTAGAAAACAGTTGGGTGTTTGCGAAAACAACAGAGTAGATCAAAACATGCTTTTATGACAAGCTCACTGTAAATGAAAATTTTGCATACTGGAGGGACCATGGTCTGGGCACTCCCCAGACTCTTGGCCTCTGTTAGAGGAATCAGGGTCATCGCTTCCCTCGTAGAGACAAAGAAACAGCCACAGAGATAGGAAGTGCTGTGGCCACAGTCAGCTGGCAGACCGGTAGTGATGGCAATTTAGATTTGGCTCCAAATAAAAATGTTTTGTTTTGAAGTAATTCAAATTAAATGGAAAAAAAAAAAATGGGTGGGGTGTACTTTTTGTTCAGTGTTTTGGGAGGGACCCTCGCATCTGTCTTCAGCCTCCACACTGCTCAGCCCCCGCCTCCTCCCATCATTTCCCTACTAGAAAAAAAACAAAAGCAACCCCCAAGTGGATATTCCTTCTGAGGTGAACCCAACCTCAATTTCTAATTTTGAGCCTTTGCCAAGGTAAGGTAAATGATCACAAGGGGATTTCAAAAAAAAGAAAAACCCAAAAAACAGATTGGGGAGGGGGGGAAAGACAGAAAAATTAGTATTCTTCCTTACTGAAAAAAGTTAAAGAAGAAAACGGTCTCTTTTTTTTTTTTTTCTTTTTGTGGTTGTTACTTTTAACAGGTGGAAGAGCAGAACTGCTGGGAGTCCCCAGCCTGGCTCTGCGCTCGGTCCCTCGCCACCCTCGCCACCCTCGCCGCGGTGCCGGCGGCCGGCCGCCCTCCCCAGCCCGCCGATCACGTGTCGGGCGCTTGGAACCGGACCCGGCTCCTTCCCCTGGTGCGGTTGTTCCTTCCACCACGCCGCAGCCGGCCGAGCCTCTGCGAGGAGGGAGCCCCGCATCTCGCCCCTCGGCCCCCGCCGGCCCCCGCACCCCTCCCCGGGAGGCAGCCGAGCGCGGCGGAGCTTCGCCGGCACGAAAGCGGCCCAGAGCGCAGGGGACCCGGCGCTGCTTTGCTGGGCGAGGGTTTCCTCGGTTTCTCTTAAAGGCTGAGGAATGTCTAACGCTAACCATATCCAGATGTGCCTGCTTGGCAGCCCGCTGCCGAGACGTTACCGAGGGGACGCAGGAGCAGCGCTATCAAACGGGATGTAAGTATCTGTTATCTATGCTTGGGCCGGGTGGGCTGGGGGGAGTTATGCAGCAAGCGGTGTGAGCTGCAGACCGCCCTTGCTGCTCTCCTTCTCCTCCAGCCTGTGGCTTCTCTTTTTTGCCTTGTTGCTCTTGCAACGCTGTCGCATGCGGCAGCCTGAACCGCGATGGTTAACAGGCAGCAGGGTCGGCTACAGGCTCGCAACACGCAGGCTCCAGCTACCTCTGCTTTACGCTTCACTTTCCAAAGCGCCTTCTTTTGGGTGTTTTAGGTTGTTTTTACAGAAGAAAGTTTGGGGCTGCTTTAGACATTGCCTCCAGTGGTCCGAGACGGGGCTTCCCCCCAACAGTGAACATGTCCCAGTGGTGGCACGTTACATTTACAAGCCACTCCTTGTCAGTAAAAGGACATGAATCTTCCCCCTGTGTTACACTATTGCATGCTTTGGGGAAAACATGGGAATTTTCAAGCTCCCTAGCGTTGTGAAGAAAGACAAAAATTCAGTCCCGGTGAAACGGGCAGTTACCGATCGCACTTTTTAACAGCTTTTGGGCGGATTCTGATAAATTTATGCATTGGGTATCATCTTGAAATTAGTGGGGCAATCCAGAACTTACTCCCTCTCCCATTCGTGTCTGGGTGTAA